AATTATATAGAGTTGACTAGAGAGTATAGACTGTGGAATTTTAATTTTGATGAAGATAAACAAGTTAATTTTGAAGAAAAAATTAAAAATTTAGTAGACTGGATATTATATGTACGTTTGATGTTTCCGAATTATATTTTGATGAATGAATTCCAACTCTAACTACTATGTGAGCACATCATGATCTCTGTAGTCATAATTGATCAATGATACAATAACAGGAAGGCCAAAATAAACACACACAAATGTCAGCCGACGTTGATAGACAACCCATAAAATCAGACATGGCCTCGACAGTTGAATGCATTACCCAAGCAAAGAATTTGAGGCGGCCAAAACTCATAGATCTGAACAACTTGTTTAAAAATCCGACATTAGATTTGGCTTCAGAGGTGCATCAGGTAAGTAAACAAACCTCTAAACAATGTAAGAGGACAGAGTGGAAAGCTAGAATATGTGCTGTTTCAGACGGATCTGAAGACTATGATCTTAACTGAAAACATTGCATACAATGAAAAGAGTTTGCAAAAAATGACACTCCTCCAGTGCGACAGGGTACTGAAAACAGACAGTGCAGTGGACATATGTTTATACAACCATTTCAAAGCCGGAAGACTACACGGCACCCAACTAACTGAAGTGACAGAATTCCGTTGGTATTATTTGAACACAGATTCCCGGCTTCCTCAGGTACTAAAGTCCGGAAAGATAAACTGACTGATGCACTGAATGACTGCAACTCTCACTCCTTGGGTTTGACCGAATACTCTTTACTGGCTTGAACTCATTATAAAATCCTAGACAAATTATTGTCCATCCATGTCATTTATATACACGACTTTCAAACTTACCTGTACATACACTGAACATCAAATACATCAAGTAACCTCTCAGGTGAAATGATTAATTCACCAAAATATTATGGTCTGGCCGACTGACCCATGTTCCTCTATAGCAACGTTTGAGGACTGAGTGGTAAGCTGGATGAGATAGGGGATACGTGCTTTCAGAAGTTTTCTAATCCTGACTGAACTATGGCTATGCCCCAACATGGCATGTTCATAAACTTATTAGTCATGAGGGATGAAGACGCATTATAGAAAATAATAGGCTCATGAGAGAGCATCTTTCAAACGCCCATGACTACGAGAATGATTGAGGCTGGAAGTAGATGATTACCCGCAAACGTTGACGGACGACATTCAGTATAATGTCCTTCACAGTGAACCTCAGGCAAATTCCATACATAGAAGGAGAAAAACTTAAAGGATAGCCTCGTACAAGTGTAAAGTCCCCTGGAAGGATTTCGACATTAGTTCTTACTTAGAATTGAGAAACAGATCCGATACCAAGGTTCGAATTGAGAGAGGACACTTCCAGACGAACGTAGCTTCCAAACTACAGGCGAAATGAAAATCATAAAAAGAAAATCTACGAACCAAGGTGTTTTTACACTCAAGGGTCCAAATGATGAAGATTTTACAAACTCGAAAATCTCCGGGATATTTATTAATAACTTAACATACCAGTTAAACTGGGAACCTGCAAGTTCAAAATACTACTGAATCCCAGTGTCATCTGATGTCTTGGGGAATATCTGACATACCCCTCACCTAGTACTCAGAAGACTGAAATCCCTGTACAGAGGAAAGTCACCATGAGGTGACAATATGCGCTCCACAGTCTTCAAAAAGTGTTGGAAAGTCCTCGATTCACCCGCATGGGACCTATTCAGGTATTCACTAGAGTCACACCATAACTCAGCCGAATGAAAACAAGTTACCCAATCTTTAAAGGAGCAGATAGGAAGGATGCAGGCTGCCGCAAACTAGTCGCACTGTTCTTAATACTGTCAAAGTTAATGGAAGGATTGATGAATAAGCAACTGAGAGAGTACAGGAACAAGAACATAATCCTCTGAGGGGCTCAATGTTGGTTTAAAAACTGACGATCCTTTGAATCCAAACTTCTCATGCAATGGGAAACTGGACAACTTACTGGGACAAAAAATACCATTTCATTTAATATGCCTCGACTACCAAAAGTACATCTAACTGCTAAGGTTACGAAAATGAGTTTCACTGATCAATCTCTCCATCGACTTTGAAACTCTAATGAGGACAGGGTTAGAAAAAGGGAGAATACAGTGCATTCCGTCCGGAGTGTATCAACGCCAGAGGTTTTAAGAGGAACCATCTTAGTTTTACTCCTCTTTCTGATCTTAACTAATTGTTAACTTATAATTTACTCCTGCAGTCCGCCTTTAACTCGAATAGTGTAGGTTGATACGTGTCCCGCCCAGTCCAAGTCCAAAAACGATAATTCTGGGAGTGAATGATTCAAAACCATATTACACCTTTGAGTTTCCAATTGCCACAATAGGTTCCGTTGCTGGAAGAATAAGTGCTTCCAGTCCGTTACTGCTAGAGTATCAAATCCAAATATAGCTGTAGCCATATTAAGTATCAAATTCAAACAACACATATATAGTTCAGAAGGAAACATGAAAACTTCAATATGAGTACAAGATATAGAAATAATAACAATATACAAATGTTAAAATCTCAAAATGGAATCAAATAAAGTACCGAAATATCGAACAGAAGAGTCAGATCATAACACAAATATATATACATGGAGGGATTTTCCAAAAACAAAACCTTCAAAACAGATTCTACACTAATGACTTTTCAGATAAAAGTAGCTCAGTCGCAGTAATTTCCGCAGACAGTTCCAACACCTGGAGGTCTGAAGATAGCAAAGAGGATCATTAATTGAGTAATGGTCCATAAACAACGGATTAAAACCCAACACCTTTAAATGTCACTTGTGACGCCAACAGCTTACATCCGTAATAGATTTCTGTCTCCTATCTCATTTTCTGAGCGCGATCTCGGTTAATCGACAACAGATATCCTAGAAATATCTTTAAACTACATAGAGGACACAGCCGATATGGACATGCATTTTCACATTATGCGAAGACAACTTGGCTCAATCACCCCCAGAATTGCTCCTAACACTTTAAAACATACGCACACCAACGCCAGGAATTTCATAACATCGTTGCACCCTCTCTCCTTAGTAGAGAGATCCTTCTTCCCTGAGAGCAACTGACTCACCCCAATCACGTACATAACTGCCGATTGACTAAAATTAGTTCATGCAAGAGGCTAGACTACCATCCACTAGACACTAGCAAATACCTGGTACCATGCTGAAGGGACAAAAATCGAGGGCAAAGAAATATATCTGTTAATGCTAGCTAGTGAATAAGGTATTGAATATTTGATATTGAGTGACCCCTAATGTCTCAGTATGGTTGGTAATGAGGAAATTTCTCTTGCGTTTCTATAACAGCTCATGCTTGGTCACCGTCACGGAATTCCTACTCAACGCCTTCTCGTGATGAAGGCATTGTTAAGAAAATCATGAGGAAGAAAATCGAATGTTCGGCTGAAAATGGGAACGGCCTGGTGGATACGGGGAATCAAACTGCTGGCTGTAAATTATTGGTATACATAGAAACATAAGATAGAGAACGACATGCGATCCTACTTCTAATCACCAGCCATCATGGGACTTCATCTCCTAACTTTACTCTATTATCTTGTGGACTAGGCCCTCAGGTCAAAAGTTCGAGAGGTGGCTCTTCGAGAAAACCATCTAGTGCAGTTTGAGCGAGCAGTATCATCAGAACACCAACAAATTCACTAATTCGCGTGTTGTATGAACGTTGAGGCACACCTCTGTATCAATCTTTATTTGTTAAAATACTATAAACAAATGATTATGAGGTATGATATAAACCCTGTATGCTTTTAAGCAAGCACGTCTACATTAATCCGCCATTCAGAAGCATGTGTCAATGTAATATATTCTTATGTAATTGAGGAATTAAAATCGAATCGCTAAAACCTCAGGAGAAAATCCAAGAATCCAATAAATTTAGCACGAAGAAGGGGATTCAGATATGGATCCATACATCTCGATCTGTTTCGCTCTAATCTATCTCGTCACTCGTGTATTTGTCGATGTTTTAAAGAAAGTATCTGTTGAATAATATGCCAATACATACCCTTCTGAACTAAGGTGATCATGAAAAACATTACAAATGTTACACAGTAAACTCTGATTCTCTTGTAATATTAGCATACAGTATGCATAATAAATGGTGTGCAGACTGAAGCCTTCTGTCAAACTATCATACAACGACGACCACCAGTCATGGGATGAAGAGCTATTAAAAAAGGTTCTGAGTATCTTTGAGTTGTTGCCCGATGGGACGATTAACAGTCTACACCTGTTCTCAATCACAGGCGGAAGAGCTTGATGTGCATTAATTACTGTCTTTAAATTCTTCAGTAATATCTTCCATTTGACAAGGCCTATTTTTCCTTGCGTTTCTGGACAAGCCAATCAGCCTAGGAACGACTACTTATTTTAAATAACCAAGTGGTCTAGCCTTACGACGTAGTCAAATATATAATGAGATAAGTGACCATAGTTACAAAAAAGAGTTTAATGGATTTGCACTAAAAAATCAAATGGGTGACGAAAAAATAACATTGAGGATAGGCCGTAACTCTGTCTGCGAAAAGTTCTTTCCGACGGCAACTATTAACAAATTTCACTCAATGAGACAATGTTCTCCTGACTTCTAGGCGCCAACGACATGAATAAAATATAGATTCTATTGTGTTTGAGGTAAGAGTAGCCAATAATTCAGTCAAGTGAAGGCTGACCTATCAGACACAAAACACCACTTTATTATATGATCATTTACGGTAACCGATGAAGATGAAACTGAAGACGACACCAGAATGGGTATATCCTAAACACTGGGAAACAGCTGAATTGTAGTGGTAAGAAATGTAATTAAATAATAATAATGATAACAATCCACATCAATCACAAGTACGGGTAATTATGAAGTATCATGAATCTAAGAGATATCTGAATTTTATTGTTTACTGAAAACTATTAAATATTGAAAAGCGCTCAGTTTGCTTATAGACGTTACATCAATCTAACATCGTGATGGGTGAAATAAGCTATAAACAGCTGCACCAATTTCATTGTGGTGCATCAGCATTCCCAGAAAGGAGTTCTTCAGTTTCCATTTGTCCTCATGGATTTTTCGTTAGTGTTTCGGATTGTGGTAAGTATATGATCTGCTCTGACGGCCAACAAAATTTGACTTTAAAATTAAGTTTTCATTGGATTTTCGGATAAGACCTTTCCTAGATTACTAACTCATCGCTCGTTACTTTCTACCGAATTCCTGGTATTATATAAGGCTGAAGGTTATGTGTAGCCTTTTGAAACTAATATTATTTTTATTAGTTATGTTGCTTATCCAACGTAACACTTCGGTTGTTTCATTTACCTCGGTTGCTCACACAATCAAATTCCGTCTTCAATAGATATGAAATTCTCTAGCATGTCAGTAACTTTTTTGTCATGGTCCTCAAATATCCTAGCACTGTTCTTAAAATCCTCTCAAGTCTACGCGTATACAGCTATTGAAAGAATTTCAATTTACTGGCTACTGGTAGTAAGGATGTTTTCACGGACTTAGGAGGACGTGGCAAATGGCAGGCGCATAAACTGAGTTTGTGGGTACCGAGGATCCACTAAGAGATGTTGGGAAACCCTTATTTCAAACCAGGATCATGATGGGACGAATGGCTTACGAACATATCGTTGGTCACCAGCTACCATGGCGTTACATCTGATGTCTCTCCAATCTTGTGAATAATACCTCTTGGTCAAAGTCTTGAGGTCAGTCAGTTACAACGTAGAACTTTGTACATACGTACATCGGCTCAAGTTGCCATTCAACATTATCACAAAGATGCACTTGTCAATTCATATCACATAGTAGTAAAGGTAGTAGAAGTATTAGCAGTAATCGGAGAGACTAGGGTTCGGAAATATTCAAGAAGTATAATTCAACGACATAAATCTAGAAAGAAAAAAATAGAGGGGATGAGGCATCTAGAAGATAAAAATTTCAGAGAACACAAGGAATAGATGCACCTGCACCATTGCAAACGGTTTTGAGTCATATCGTTCAAGGTCTCTAACCATCGATTACCGTCATATCGCGGACCCTAAGTAGATAGTCTACACTTACCAACATGACCCAATCCAGTTGTCAGTGACTTTATAGATTTTTACCGTATTTTGTCTTTGGCGGCCCCTAGCTTTCCCTCATCCTACTCCTAACCGTAGTAAGTCTTGAGGAGTGGCTCCTTAAGGAAACTATTTACTTCAGTGTGAGCACATAGATTATATCTTCCACTCTTATTCAATTATGTGTGGTGTACAAATATTTGAGTGCATCTTTGTATCGACGTTCGTGTTTTAATCAATACATATTAGCTATACGGTCCTGTTGTCTTCACCAATTAAACCACAAGTTAGAACCATTCAGTTTGTGATTTTACTCACTCTATACAGATTATGTATTACTGTCAAGTGTATTTTCAATTGAATGTTTTACGCATTCGTTTGTTTCTATGGGTCCTGTGCAATTCACATGAACTTTCTCCATAGGTGGGCACATAGAATTTGTTAGAAACTATACATTTTAGAATACCATATGAATTCGTCGGTGTCCTGGTTATTTATAAGCGTTTTTAGTTTTATTTGGACTAATATGCACATTTTCTTCGTAAAAAAAACCTCAGGTCTCCTTTTGTATGATACAAAACATTATTTGGAAGCTACCGGAACTTGCAAACTTCGAAGAGATAAACCGCTTCCCGACCACAGACCAAATATTGTTGTTTCTTCAGTTGATCCTATAGTCTGGACTGCCTTCAATTCGGATGGTTTAATACTAGCTGTTTTGACATCTAGCGAAAGTCGAGGGACATTAGTAAATTTGCTTAATGTAGTTGATCTTGTAAAGGTAATCATTTGTACTGCATTTATTTTCTACTTCTTTTTATGTCTTTACCTTGTTAATGCGAGGGAAGTTTCTTTTCGTTTTCAAGTAATCGACAAATAATTGATGTTCATGAGATTCAATAAACATTCTGAAAACTGACAATTTAAAAACAATGATTCCGAAATCCGGTTTATCAGCTCTTTTTAAGACCGAGTGTTTAACCATGAAATTTTTGTTTTTATAAGCTACACAAAACTGTACATCTACATTCAAGCAATGTCGATGGTCCTTATAGAAATCCTTTAGATTCGTTTTTCATCCTAGAAGTGATTGTTGGGATCTAAAATATCCCCGAAAAACCTGACGAAAACCAGTCAACAGTCGGGTTTTCAATCGGACGATTTTTAAACACTAAACTGGTGTGCTGAGTTGACCTAGATGTGCTCTCTTTTTTGAACAGCAACTCAAAAAATCTTTAAATACGTACCTGCATATTTCACACTACGTTATCACTGACCAAAGCAGCACTGAAATCATACTTAATATCGAGTATTTATACTCAAAATTATTTTTAAAAAAGTGGCTATAAATTTAGGGTTCAAAAAATTAGAAATTTGAAATTAATCTAGTCGTTGCTTTTCTTGTGACTGTTAAAGAACTACGTTTCGATAGAAGATATACCCATAAATCAAGTGTTCACTTTTTTGGTTGATGATTGAAATACCGATTAGAAACGTTCTAACTAGAGGTTTTCTATTACATTAGCTTGACATAATAGTCTTATTCACTTAATTCAATCAATTAGCTCATTACTGATTGGTAAAAACCAAGCGGTAATCCACATTACGTAACTTTATACTCTCAAGATAACTGTTAAACCATGAAGGGTTGTTATTTTGACCACTATATGCTACATCGGTCTAAGCTTAACAATCAAATTATTGAAATCTCTTCTGGTTAGATAGGGATATTAAGACCATGCACTCGAATTTCAGCTAGTAGTGAATAATGGGTTTAGAATTTTTTCTACATTTTTGTGGTAGAAAGAAGATACCACTAACTTTCTTGTTCATGATAATTGATGCACACATAAACTTTTCAACTTGTGTTTGACTTAAAATAAAATTTTAAGTACCAAGTTTAACTTTCTGTAGGAGAAGTTTCTGACTTTATTCGGCTGAATTGATTATATCACTGATCGTATAAATTACCCGTTTTTTTTTTGAATTTAGTCTGGATCAACTGATTTGGCAAATATTAGCCGTTCCATTCGCGTTTGCGGTGGTGAAACTAATCTATGGAAATTACGCGATTTTGCTTGGAGTCCAACTGATCCGACTACTTTTGTTGTTGTTCTTGATTCCGGTGCAGTTCGTCTGTTTAATTTTCCACCGGATGGAAGTAGATCATTCACTCTTGTTGGTCAGTTACCAGGAACTGCAGATTGTCGATGTGGTATGTCTATTTTCTTCATTTATGTCAAGCCAGCTCCATTAGAATGACTGATAATTTTAGATCGTAAAAATAAAGTATATCTTTTTGGTACTGATTTGCTTGCAAAAGGGGACAGATTCTTTTTTTTATTACCGCCCATGTAATTGAGCAGTTTATTCTAATGTACTATTGTTATCAAGTTTGATTATAGACTACTTCTCATATATTACCTGTATAGGACCACTGATCTGTTAGCCATTCTCACACAATGACCTTCCTTTGACCAACAACTCAATGTCAATAAGGCAACGGCCGAGATCAGATTGTAATTTTATTTAACTAAAGGACGACTACCAGTTTCAGTTGGCAATAAGTTAACAATAATACTTTGATGTTCAGCTTATTTATTGTTTAGCTAATCATTATGCAGTCATCAATCAATGGTTAGACCGTAGCTTTATGTATCCCAACCCCATTTCATTTACTTTAAGAAAATACTTTAAAAAAAATATTTGTGAACAGTTGTCTATGCAAAATACTTCGGATTCGTTGGCCAGACACTATCAGCAACAACGTACTGTGGGATAGAACAAACCAGATTGCAGTGGAGGAGGAAATCAGGAAGAAGCGGTGGAAGTGGATAGGACACACACTACGAAAAGCACCTAACTGCATCACGAGACAAGCCCTCACATGGAACCCTCAAGGCAAAAGGAAAAGAGGAAGGTCAAGGAACACATCACGCCGAGAAATAGAGAAAGATATGAGAGGAATGAACAAACATTGGACAGAATTGGAGATGGAAGCCCATGACAGAGTTGGTTGGAGAAAACTGGTGAGCGGCCTATGCTCCATTGGGGGGTAACAGGCGTAAGTAACTAAGTAAGTAAATATAAACATTCCCGAAAAGATTCAAACAACCAATAAAAAGAGGATGAAAATGCTTACTATTTCATATATCAGTCGTTATTTAGATTCCATAGCTACGTCGATTAATGTATTGCATGTTTTCAAACGAAAGGTACTAGGTTGGAGCCCTGATTTAACTATTAATTTGGATCTAGTGGATCTAGTTGATTCCATTGCTAATCATCACCCAAATCTGCCTAAAAACACTCGATGTTTGAATATGTAATATAGTTAAACAAACATAAAAACATGAAAAAAATGCTTTTATTTTTCTCTGTGGATTTTTCTGCATGATTTACTTTTTATTCTCTTCGGTTTTTTTCTTACTCAGTGTCTTGGAGTCCAAAAGGAAAACAACTTGCTATCTGTTTGAATGGTTCATTGTCCACTGTAAATGGAATTGTCCAAGGTCCTTTAATTTTACAAGTAGATCCACAACTACAACAAAAGCGCATTGTTCCACTTAGTCAATTGTTCAATTCAAATAATGGTAAGTAATTAGAACAGCATTAAAGCATATCATATATATATATATATATATATATATATATATATATATATATATATATATATATATGATGGCTTATTGGTTAAGGCTTTTAGTTTTCATTCATAAATCAGTCATGTGCAGTGTAGTACTTGACACATGTGCATCGGTTCACATTACGATTACTACGTCGGCTTTTGCCAACCTGCGTCACTTATGGCGTAGGCGAGATATCCGTTTGCTGACTAAAGGACGAGTGTACTGCGCAGTAGTTCGCTCCGTCGTACTTTATGGCTGTGAAACATGGCCAGTGAGAGTGGAAGATATTCGTAGATTACTGGTTTTCGATCATAGATGTCTTCGAAGCATTGCTCGTATATCCTGGGATACCTAAGTGAGCAACGCTGTTATTAGGAAACGGGTGTTAGGTAAGAATGGTAGATCAATAGAAACTTCATCAGTTGAGGTGGTTGGGACATGTGTTGCGTATGCCTAACCACCGACTACCTCGTCGAGCTATATTTGTAGTGTAGTAATAGGTTGGAAGAAAGCTATGGGCGGCCAAACCAAAACATGTCAGAAATCCATGAAGTCATTGACGAGTGGACTGAGTCATGTTGGTAGGTGTCGACTAGCTGGTTGGAGTCCGCGAGATGATAGTAATCAATGGTTAGAGACCCTGAATTATATACCTCAGGACCTTTTGCAACGGCGAAGGTTCATTCATTCTTTGTGTTCTCTCAAATCTTAATCTTCTGGATTCTTCAACACCTCTAGTTTTGTGTTTCTAAACTTTTCTCACTCAATCATACTTCTTGAATGATATCTTCTAATCCTAATCTATCCGATTACTTCTAATACCTTTACTACCTCTTCTACCATTGGATTTGAATTGACAATTATATCTCTGTGCTGATGTGATATGGCAACGTGAACTGATGTACTTACGTACGAAGTTCTACGTTGCATTTGACTGACTGACTGACTGACTGATTCCATGTGAACACATTATTGATACTTGAACATTTATTCCAGTGTCTACATGCCTTGTAAAGGTTCGATATTTCAAATCTATGCTGGGAGAATGTTCAATAAATAAATAAATAATTTCTTGCTAAAAATTTAATTCGTTCCCATATTCGTTAGAATTGTTCTGGAATTCCCTGTATTCAATGATTCTTTTTTTTCCGAAGGTTTAGTCACTTCTAGTCGGAGGAACACTATGTTCGTCAAGGTTTGTCTGTGTGTTTGTGTACAATGACAATAAATAATTCAATCTGTGTGACCATCTTGAAACATTGATTTTGTGTGTTGTGCATGTATATTTTTGTGCCTACTTGCGTCACTGTTTATGTTTTAAATAAATAAAACTAACAACACGGACTACTACAGCATCAGCATGTTCTACGATTTACCGCATCGGTTTCCACGTTAACCATGATTTAGTGACTCTGAGACAGAGTGGAAATGGTAGAAAAGATAATTAGTTTATGATACCGGGTTTTTCATGTGAAAAACGCCTATTTGTGACTACCATCTGTCAGTTTATCACGAGTCTTATATATGGTCTAACTTAGTGACTTTATAAATCAATCATAGCTAAGATTTTAAAGTTCATGTCAATAACATGCTTCATTTGTGTAAGGCATTTTTTATACGATTTTTTTGTACTAGATTCCTGTTTATTCTGGCTATCTTTTAAAACAAGTTACATTAACCAGTTATTCGTGTCGGGTATTTGTAGAGATTGTTGAATTTTATAGTTTGACATCGCGAACTGACTTTATTTAAGCAAACATTCAAAATCAAAAAAAAGTAATGAACATCTTTTGGAGCACAGTTTTGGAGGTTTGCGTTTTTTACACATTTGAAATCATCAATCAATCATTGTTAGACCACCACTAGAAACCTAGAAGCACTGAGAGACGGCCGTTTCGTCCTGGTATGGGACTCATCGGCAGTGCGCATCCACGACTCCTGCTCCTCGCAGGATTCGAACCCGGGACCTTTAGCATTGTAGGCGAATGCCTTACCATCGGACCACTGGGCCGGCATCCAACGGTGTTAATGTCTAACTCTGATTGATCTAGGGATTTTGCGCGACCTCACCCATTTGTGTTTGGTAGTTACTGCCTACACCCGACAGGGTTGAACTCCATTGGTCACGTCTTCTCAACTAGAACTCCGATAATTTCTTTACGACTAGCTTCGTGAGGAAATACCAGGATAAAACGGCTGTCCAGTGCTTCCAGGTTTCTAATGATGGTCTAACAATGATTGATTGATGATTTCAAATGTGTAGTGAACATCTATTTCATCTTGGCATGAAACTCTATTCATCCTTATTTTTGATTCTACCAAAAATCGAACCTAAATCTCTCACATCTTTTAACAAGCGTTTAACCTTTATATCACTGAATCAGCATCTAATCATTTATATGTTCAACCTTAATCAATTCGAATTATTACTGAACCATCTTTCAATACCGTTGAAATGTAACTTGCCTCTCATTCTGAAAGTCCCCCTGACCGTTGATATTTACCACTGGTTAGTCTCATACTAAGATGAAACATCTGTCTAATGCCTCTTTTATCTAGGGTTAGTCGATAAATGTAAACTATAAGCTGTATATATTGTTCAAAGTAAATTACATTCAATTCAATGAAATATTGTAAAAAAATTGTACTGTTTTCCTGATTGTCACAAACATTATTAAGTACATCTTCATATTACCAGTGTATGTTCTAATACACGTATTTTCATGTGTGTATACGCGCTAAATGTTGTTTACACACTCATTAAATTAACCAAAATTATGCAATAATAATCATAATAATGTCAGGTGAGCTTGTTTTTTTTTCAGGAAAAAAACCAACAATCAACAAGACTTACCAAACATACTACTTTTTTAAGATGAATATTAATAGTGTTTGATGGGAAAATATGTATGTATTTATTTTTTTTTACTAAATTTCAGATTGGAAGAATAGTTTACCGGTAGATCTATTATGGACATCATCGTATAATTTTCTTTTGGCTATTAAACAATCAGTCAATGAAGCGCATGCAATTTGTTCAACCAATGTTTTATACATTAGTACAACTGTAAGTAGTAGTATACTAATGTTTGTAGTAGTTTAGTCTATTAAAAGTATTTTTCTTACAAAACTTGCATTATGCATATCAGATTCCCTTTAGGATAAAATAAAAAAACTCCTTCAATGAACTTGTCTCGTTTTCGTTTTGATTGTTCAAAACATTTTTTGCGCGTTGATTGAAAGTTAAATCTCTCAACTGCATTGTTATTTGACAGACAGACAGACAGACAGACAGATATACAACGCAGAACTTCGTACGTACGTACATCAGTTCAGGTTGCCATGCCCCATCAGCACAGAGACGTAACTGTCAGTTCAAATCCAAGAGTGATAGCAATAATAGAAGTATTAGCAGTAATGGAGAAGATTAGGGAGCGAAGATATTATTCAAGAAGTATAATTCAGTGAGATAATAACTTTAGAAAGACAAAGGTAGAGGTGCTGACGAATCCAGAAGATTAGGATTTCAGAGAGCTCAAAGAATGGATGCACCTGTGCCATTGCAAACGATTTTGAGCCATGTCGTTCAAGGTCTCTAACCATTGGTGACTTTCGTCTCGCGGACCCCAACCAGGTAGTCTACATCTACGAACATGACTCAGTCCACTTGTCAGTGACTTCATGGATTTGTGCCATGTTTTGGTCTGGCCGCCCCTAGTTTTCGTCCAACCTACTCCTACACAACAAAACATAGCTCGTCGAGGCAGTCGGTAGGTAGGCATTCGTAACACATGTCCCAACCACTTCAACTGATGAAGTTTCACTACTTCATCCATTGATTTACCATCCCTACCTAGAACTCGTTTCCTAACGACAGCATTGCTTATACGGTTGTCCCATGATACACGAGCAATGCTTCGGAGACATCGGTGGTCGAAGACTAGTAACCTACGAAAGTCCTCTACTCTTAACGGCCATGTCTCGTATCCGTACAGTAGGACGGAGCGAACTGCTGCACAGTACACTCGTCCTTTAGTCAACAAACGGATATCTCGCCTGCGCCATAGGTGACGCAGGTTGGCGAAAGCCAATTGAGCCTTCTGTATCCGAGCTGAGATTTTGTCAGTCACCAGGCCATCAGCACTGATGAGACTCGCCAGATAAGTGAAGCGGTCTACACGTTCGACTACTTCACTCCCTATCACTAGTTCAGGTGCCGATGAAACCCATTCTTAAAGCAACATTTCGCATTTCGAGGGGGAAAACTGCATCCCGAACATGCTTGGATTGTTGCTTAGGGTGGTCAGAAGACTCTGCATTTTGTCAGCGTCTTCACCAAGTAGGACAATGTCATCGGCATATTCTAAGTCAATAAGCGAGCCTCCTGGTAATAGGTCTACTCCTGAAAATTCAGACGAGGATAAGGTTATTTCTAGGAGCATGTCTCTGATAAAATTAAACAAGAATGGAGAGAGTGGACATCCCTGATATTTCATAATTTTACAAATTGCTGTAATACGAACCATTCCGGAACACAAACAAATCACAGTAGGCTTAAAGTCTACTACCCCTACCCCTAACTCAAGTCTCATATGGTCGAAAAATGGAAATTTCAAAAATGCGAAAAAATCATTGCCCGACATGTGAGACAAAGGGTAATAGAAGTGTTTGGGCGTATTTTCATCAAGCTGCGCTGCCTCTTCTACTATCCTACGCCATATATGTGTACACCGTATGCCATACTGCTATATAGAGCTGAAGGTCTCCTATGAGACCAGAGGTTCACTGTGAACATTCTGCATGGCTTGACTTTGCTTTGGTAAGCATTGTTAACAGTCCATTGGTTAGCGGGGCGACCGATTTCATTGATATAGGTGGTTGTTTTGCGTCATTCCCAAGGGCCATTGTCATTGGGGTGCTGTATTGCATATCACCATTGCTAATAATAATAATGAGTTTGACAGTAGTCATGTAAGGGGGATGTGTCGAAATGGCCTGTTCATGCGGTGCATATTGATTGATAGACGCGATCATGGATCGGAAATAATCACTGTAAATGTACTAGTGTATATGAGATGGTGTGAATGGTCCACCAGGGTATCAGGTACCTGTGTGGTTGCACCACAGGATTGAGCCGAACTGTTCATGTAGTAATGGTAACACGTGAGCAGTCTCCTTGGTTCTCCTGAAAACCAATGTAAAATTGTCCTTGACAATACAGGATTAATTTATATAATTCTGAAATAATAATGAATAAGAAGGATGACTTAGTTTAGTGGTCGAATTATTGTAGTCCGAGAGAACTGTCAGATACTCAGTGCGGAATGTGATGGTGCAAACATCTGTGACAGCACTGTACAAAGATTTGCTTTCACACGATTCTTCGAATAATTGTGAAATAAATATGACAAGCCAAATCAAATTATATATTGTAATAGAAATCAATGATTGGCGGAAACAGTAATAATTATAAGGAGATAACAATCTAAATCCAGTGTAAACTAATCCATCGATTCATGGTTTCAAAAATGTGTAACTTAACAATCTTCACAACCCCGTAATGCAAATTACCTGTGCTCACTAGTGACTAGCTTCTTGAGGAATCTTCTCCGAGTTCTAGTGGGAAGACGTGACCAGTGAAGTTCAACCTGTTCGGGTGTAGACAGTAACTACCGAAGACTGTGTATGAGGTTGCGCAACTCCGTGAATATGATCAAGTTAGACATTAACACCGTTAGATACCGGCTCAGTGGTCTATCGGTTAGGGCGTTCGCGCACAATACCGAAGGTCCTGGGTTCGGATCCTGCGGGGTGCAGGAGTCGTGGATGCGCACTGCTGAGGAGTCCCATATCAGGACGAAACGGCCGTCCAGTGCTTCCAGGTTTCTAATGGTGGTCTAACATTGATCGATTCATGGTTTCAAAAATGTGTAATCCATTATAGTTAGACTAATCTCATAATGCAAGAGAAGACGACCAGTGTAGCAGCAGCAGCCTCTGCAGCAGTAGGTCTCAACATACATAAAGGAAAGAGCAAAATTCTCCGATGCAACACAACATGCACTAAACAAATCACTGTTGATGGAGATGCCTTGGAGGACGTTAACACCTTTACATATCTTGGCAGCATCATCGACGAGAAAGGTGGATCTGATGCAGATGTGAGGGCGCGGATTGGCAAAGCAAGGGCTGCATTTCTACAGTTGAAAAATATCTGGAACTCCAAACAACTTTCAACCAAAACCAAAATCAGGATTTTCAATACAAATGTCAAGACAGTTCTACTGTATGGATCGGAAACATGGAGAACTACCAAAGCCATCATTCAGAAGATACAAGTGTTTATTAACAGTTGTCTACGGAAAATACTTCGGATTCGTTGGCCAGACACAATCAGCAACAACTGTTTGTGGGAGAGAACAAACGAGATTCCAGTGGAGGAGGAAATGAGGAAGAAGAGGTGGAAGTGGATAGGACACACACTACGAAAAGCACCTAACTGCATCACGAGACAAACCTTCACGTTGAACCCTCAAGGCAAAAGGAAAAGAGGAAGGCGAAGGAACACATTACGCCGATAAACAGAGAAAGATATGAGAGGAATGAACAAACATTGGACAGAACTGGAGAAGGAAGCCCATGACAGAGTTGGTTGAAGAAAACTGATGAGCGGCCTATGCTCCATTGGGGGTAACAGGCGTAAGTAAGTAATCTCATAACTAAGTAACACATTTAGTGTCTTCGCTTATTTCTTAAAGCTGTGGCTGATGGTCTAAGGCGTTTGAAGTGTGTTATATCGACTTGAGTTTGATCAACTGGATGGATATCCTTAGTCTTCACATTTAGAGTGTGGTTCCATACACAAATGCCCCCGAATGAATGAGTTTTAAAACTATTCTCTCTTTCTAATTTATTATCATGTTTTTTTACTTCAATTTTTTTGAACTCTTTTGATTAGTCAAAATCTCCAAAACCATCTGCTGTCGCAATTGATAATCTTAGCAGTCGTATTCATTATGACAAAGTACAATATTATTTTCGCTTTCTCGGACCTAATCATGTTATTGTCACACTGGGTTGTATTGGTGAAGAGATCATTGTTTTACGACTACCTACAACTCCAGGGAGTATACCTCAAGAGGTAGTAAGTATTGAATTACCAGCTGATGGTTATGCTATGAGTGTTGATGTCGGTGTTCTTCAGAATATAGTAAGTTCATGAGTGATTTATTATTATTATTATTATTATTATTATTATTACTGTTAGTGGTCGTAATAGTAGTAGTAGTCCTTCCATAATACACTTCGGATGTAATCTGTCTTCGCTTCTCATTTCGTCATTCAAATAAAAATAGTCATGTTCTTCATTTACTAAGTGCATACTTGTGTAAGCACTTATAAATCTCATTACTTCTTACTGTATGCAGGACTAGCCGACTCTAGCCGGTTGCCCAGATTAACGTAACTAGGCAAGGTGCGTTGTTCGAGTGTACAACCTTTTGGTTGTAAACCAATGCGCTTTCTTTCACTAATCAACTCTATGTAATTGTTGGGGATGTTAGATCCCCAAAACTCGCTTGATAAATGCCTTATTTTGGTTTTCACGTTTGCCAGCATGGGCTGATCAGTTGACCTTGAGATTTCATTTCTCACCAGGAAAATCCATGGCTGTGATTGGCTGCTGTGTATTTTAGTGTGCTATTTTCGTAACTGTCCCAAGGACGTTTCTATGATGTATAAATAAACGAGAGTTGTATGCTTGATTGTGTTGCGTAATTGCTGGGTGTGTGTAGAATATACTTCTACGCTTACAAAGCCTTCCTACTTTCGCCATCCCATTGGGTAGCCTTCCTACTTTATTTGGGGATTCGAGGTAGCCTACCTGGACGCTGGTAAAAGTTTCGTTCGCGCTTATCGACTAAGTGACGAACATAATAGTAATACAGTCTACGGCACTGAAGCATGCACGTTAGTCATAATCAGTAGAATTCGAGAGTTTAGGTACTATAGTTCAAGATTAGATTACGATGGCATAGATCTGTTCACTATTGAGTCTTTAATATTCGCTCATACGCTTTATTTCATGAATTCAAATCATATTCTCCGTGGTTAATCTTTACAAAAAAGTTTTTATTATCTTTCACAGCAGTATCATTCCGATGTTCTTTGTTTATCGTTCCTGTTATTCAATTTTCTTCATCTCGATTTACTGATGTGGCATCAAAAAAAAACTGAAACTGTGCTGATGATGTTGTTCAGAAGAACAATGAAAGCTCCACAACCAAAACAACAGGCTGAGAGAACGAAACACCACCACAATCATCCACCTGAGCTACAAGTTTTCTGCACCATCTCAACACTTAATAATACCCTTTATCTCATGACGGGACATCTTTTTTTTTATCGCAAGAGCGAAATCTTTATTTTTTCTCAGATCATATAAAAACTTGAGTTAGAAATGGTTGTAGTAGTTGTAGTAGTATCCTTTACTTCTTAAAGATAAATGTTAACCATTCAGATATTCATTTTCTCTCCATACAACATACACATAATATTTCCGGGCAGAGTTTTTTGGAGGTTTGTGTTTTTACACATTTGAAATCATCAATCAATGATTGTTAGACCACCATTAGAAACCTGGAAGCACTGAAAGACGGCCGTTTCGTCCTGGTATAGGACTCATCAGTGGCAGTGCGCATCGACGACTCCTGCACCTCGCAGGATTCGAACCCGGGACCTTCGGTATTGTGCGCAAACGCCTAACCATTGGACCACTGGGCCAGCATCCAACGGTACTCATAGCTTACTGTTGGAATTTTTTTCTAAGATACTAATAAGGGTTATGTATTAATAGTTTAGTCGTCAAACTTTTTCGCTGTAGTATATATTTTACCAGATGAGTAATGATAAGTAATAATATAAACTAATCTTTCTCTTTCTATGCTTGATTTGATAAATTTACATGAATATTTGTCTTTCATTTTTGTTTTTATCAATTAGACGAATGAATCTGTTGATAACAATGCTTTCTTATTATATCTACTCACTTACTTATCAAATGGGAATATTTGTCCGTATATATTAAATTCAAATGATCAGTTAAATCTATCCAATTCAACCAATGTGAAATTGATTCATTTGCCTATACCAAAACCTGTCATAGTTGCAACATCTGACAGCAACAACCTATCATTGAATACACCGAAACCAGCTTCTATGTCGGTATCATTTGCAAATGATCATTCAACTCATCAAATCAAACAAAATCTTAATACTTTATCAGTTAACTTCGCTAATCAGCAACAACACCAACAACAACAACAGTACCATCATGTTTCAAATGTATTGCCTGTTAATACAACCATTTGTATTACAACAACAACAACTACTACTATAAGTAGTAGTCCTGGTAGTTTACAATCTATGCCATCTTCTATTTCATGTAAGTTATACGTTTTGGTAATTTGAATGAGTTTTGTTTACTTTGTTTCTTTAGTTTGTTCGTTCCCAACCGTAGCTGCTACCTTGACGTGGTGCTCGGGCTTGCCTATCGTGATGACCCAATCGAGCTATACTGACTTGGAACATATGTTCCTGAAGGTTCTACCATGCCAGGCAGGTCGATTGGAGAACGATGAGACTAAAAGCAGCTACCCAAGGTCTGAGGGCGAAGTCGTACTGCTGACTGTGATGGAGGGGTGTGACAGCAGTAAGGTGCTACCCTCGGACAACCAGTATCTGCAGCGATGATGCCTTCACACAAGGAAGGAAGGGTTAGAAATGGTCGTCCCTAAAAATGTCACACCTCACCCAACCTCACGGATTTCCGTCTCCGGCGGTAAGGCTGCCCACTAAGGGCTTTTAAGAGCGAAGCTAATCCTCTAAATACCTCTCATAAAAAGGTCGTGCGTGTCCGGCCTCAAGCAGTTGTCTTTTGGGCTCTGCGGTCACGTTGCCAGGTCTCCAAGACCAACACTAGTCTATCTTCCTTTTTAGTCCCCTCAAGAAACAACCTTCCATGGCGTGAGCATCCGGGAAGTGACAACCACCCTCATACCCGTAACAGTACACGAGTTCGTTCGTTCGTCTGTTGCGTATATATTAATTAACCAGCTTGAATGAGTTTACTTCATGCAGTGTACCATCCAAGCTGATAGTGGTTGTCTGTCTGTCTACATACGTGCACATGAAAAAAATAATTCCAATCATTTTTTTTAATGATTCTTTTTTTTGGTTGTTTTGAAATGGAATGCTGTTAAAGTTATTTTATTTCAATGATCGTTTTTCATTTCAAGATAATGATGTGATTAGAAAGTATGGCAAATCTAACTTCTGTTACTGTTAGTTGTTTGACCATAGTGTTTCACTTTTGTGGAGTTGCTTTTCTTGAAATGTGAAGGCTCTCTCTTGTGTATGAATCCAATCTTTGTCATTTCTAGGCTACCCACACAGCGGAAGGGTGTTGATTGAGGAATCAGAAAAAAAGTTGGGTTATTATTATTCCTGGAAGCGTGTTCGCAGAGCCCAAGGGGCAACTGCTTGAGGCTAGTCGTGCACGGCCTTCTCATAAGAGATTTGTAAATTGTTAGCTCCGCTCTTACTGCCAGAGACAGAAATCTGTGAGTTAACGTGAGGTGTGAAATTTTTAGGGTCGATCTCTTCTAATCACCTCCTTCCCTTGTGAGAAGGCAGTATCGCCGCAGATACTGGTTGTCCGAAGGAAACACGTTACTACTGCCACACCCTTTTTACAGTCAGCAGTACGACTTCACCCTCAGACCTTGAGTTGCAGCTTTTAGTCATAGCGTTGTCCAATCAACCTGCTTGGTATAGTAAGACCTAAAGGAACATATATTCCAGCCAATATAGCTCGATTAGGTTATCACGATAAGATATAGATTTTTTTTTGAATCCCGTCTATATTCTCTTCTAATGTAGCAAACAGTTGATACTTCTTTCAGATTGCATCTCATATGGATTTTACTAATCTCATGTTTTAAATTATTCAATGTTTACCTCTTATTTATTTTTAACTCTTTCTTTTTTAACCCAAATAATTCTGCTGAACAAAATCCTACGTGATTAATTGCTTATTGTGATAGTAAATACTGATGAACTATGCTTAATTGAACTATAGTTTCCCTTATTCAGTCACTCAGTCAGTCACATGCAACGTAGAACTTCGTACGTAAGTATGTCAGTTCATGTTGCCATACCACATCAGCACAGAGATGTAATTGTCAATAGTAGAAGAGGTAGTAAAGGTATTAGTTTCCCTTATTAGTTTGTATTTTTATACATGTACATGAGCAATACAAAACGTGCCACATGTGAGCATGGGTAGCAATTTAACACAAGATATCAACATGGTCAGATGAATTTATTGAGACAACCAAGAGTGTTATAAATGATAACAATATCAGTGATAGTAAAAAATACATTACGCATAAAAAATTATTTTCAGAGGAAAGAATGGATTTTCGCAAATAGAAAAGTATGAGATAATCTTTAAAAAAATTTGCAAGCTCTAAGGGCAAACAAAAATATGCGTATATCTGTATCATTGTGATTGATTTTGAACCATATTACTCAATAAACTCCAAATATTGGTTGTATTAATCAAGTGAGCCCTATTCAAAACAGTCTGCATCTACCAGTACGGTTCAATTGACTTAATTACTTATGCATTTTGCTTCTGATGGAGCATTGGCTGCCCACTAGCATTCTACAACCCATTCCGTCCTGAGCCTTTCCATTTCTACACGATTGCTGTTCATTCTCTTTTCATGTCTGCTTCCAATCCTCGGCGTAGTGTGTCCCTTGGTCTAACTCTCTTCCTATGGCCTTAAAGATTATAAGTTAGGGATTGTGTGTTGTGATGCAGTTGGTTGCTCTCCTTAATGGATGGTACATATTGGGGAAAGCACCTAACTTAATAGTCGACAACTTCATTGAAGTTCAGTGTTCGTGCATGAGACCGAAGGTCCTGGCTTCGATACCCGCTCGCGGGTTTGTGGATAGGCACTGCTGATGAATCCCACGCTAGGACGAAACGGCCCTTCCAGGTTTTCAGTGGTGGTCTAACATTGATGAACAATGAAACTCAACAATCTCCACAACTGATGGTATGTTTTGGATTGCCCTCTTCTCATGACATACTTCCCTCATAAAGTATCTTCTTTTTACCTAACGTATACAGTCCTTGTTTCAAATACATGAGAAATCGTACCATTGTGAGAATAGGCGGCCAATAACTTACTCTCATCATTTTATATATTTTCCTTCTATTTTCATCACTCCATTTAAATTCTCATGTGATATTAGTGTCTTACTTCTTCACTTGGTATTCTTTTGGTTGCTGTAGTAATCATAATATTCAACAGAAAAGAAAAAAACAAGAAACTAGTAGTAAGCACTAACCTCATGTGCGTGTGTGCGCGCGTGTGTTTGTGTCGATGCACAGCAATCGATCATATTTATTCCATCCATCCATATATGTGTCATTATTATTATTATTATTAATATTATTGATTGGATGTCATTTGTGGTACACTTTATAAAAAGTGCTGTTTGTTTTCTTTTTCTTACATTCTCTTTATTTTTTTTTTACTAAGTAAAAGAGAAAATATCATGTGAGATAGATATTGTGCATGATTAATTTTGGTGCATCATATATAATATTAATGCATATATATGACAAGAGTTCTACTCTGTTTATGTGTGTGTTGGTTCACCATTAGAAAAACTTACTAATAAACAAACTTGAAAAAAAGTGATGTAGCTTCTCTATTTATTGATCATGCACAATTGTATTTCTCTCAGATGTGATTTTCTGCATGTACATGCCTGTTGAAGCAGTTGCCTAATGACTGGAACCGATGTAGGATTAGGATGATTCGGTGATTTTCTAATCAAATTTTCGGTTGCTGATCGACCAAAGACATTCAATGATGCGATCTAGGCTATAATTGATGTATATAAACTGGGGAAAGTGAACTGCCGTCATAAACCTCCGTAAGATTTGCAATCAAGAAATAAGACCATTTTTGAGTATGAGTCATTGAACAAGTATACATTTGGAGAATATGAGTACTGTTGGTCATTTACTCCCCAACGGAATTAATACCTAACTAATAGTGTAGTGAATGAGAACACAGGTGGCGCAACTGAATTGTATTTAACGAAAATTACAGAGTTACTCAGTAAAATAGGAAAACCATATTGTAAATCGTTAATTTGCAAAATATCAGTCCTGTTGCAAAACATCAATCCATTGTCACTATTCATGCGTTTCATACAAATTCCATTGTGTTCCCACTCTTCTTCCTTTCTTGATCTTCCCCCATATTCTGCTGCCAGACATTACGTTGACACTCACGTCATATACTACTTATAAGTAGCTCGCACCACAATAGTTCTTAATTCTTATCCTGATCTATCACCTCTACCGTTAAATGATGTGAAAACAGTGGTAAAATGGTGGTACTTTTCCTTTCCTATCCATAGATGATGGCATGAAAAACATTCAACTTACAACCAATAGTTTACAATTTGAAATCCCATTCATCAAACAATTCGGTTCAATCAACCGGTTAGTATAGTATCACCCTTTAAATCTTGTACAACTAAAGTGTGGTTGAAAGTTGAGTACGTAAGATCTGACAACGTGGCTTTTAAGTAGTATGCAACGAAGTGCTGACAGAAGTTACTGCTGAAGCGAAGAATGTCTGATCCGGATGTATGACGCGACCAGTATATTGAAGAGCAGAAGACATAGAAATGAAGACATCCAATAATTTACTTGTTTTGCAAATGCAAGTCTGAAGATAAAGTGTACAGATTTTTGCTAAGAAATTGTCTTCTTCAGATAAATTACTAACTAATTTTATCTGGTCTTAACATCTCTGCGTATTACACTTAATTTGAATGAGTATTATTTTCATATTATCCTATTCAGTACTATTGTTGTGCGAGCTACTTATAAGTAGTATATGACGTGAATGTCAACGTAATGTCTGGCAGCAGAAGATGGGGGAAGATCAAGAAAGGAAGAGTTAGAACACAATGGAATTTTTATGAAACGCATGAATAGTGACAATGGATTGATGTTGTTTGCAACAGGAACAGCCCAGTTCGATATGATGAACTGATATTTTGCAAATTAAGGATTTACGATATGGTTTTCCTATTTTACTGAGTAACTCTGTAATTTTCGTTATATACAATCCGGTTGTGTTCTCCTTCACTACACTATTACTACCTCTACTACTCTAGAATTTGCTTCATTGTACTAATGAGTTATACCAACCTGAACCGATGTACACATATATGCACCAGGCTCTACGTTCCGTATGACTGACTGACGGACAGATCTTTAATACTTACTTCAGATTTAACAAGCGGATATCTCGCCTGCGCCATAAATAACGCAGGTTGGCAAAAGCCAATCGAGCCTTCTGTATCCGAGCTGAGATTTCGCCAGTCACCAGGCCATCAGCACTGATGAGACTCCCCAGATAAGTGAAGCGGTCTACACGTTCGACTACTTCACTTCCTAGTATGGCAACCTGAACTGATGTACTTATGTACGAAGTTCTGCGTTGTATCTGTCTGTCTGACTTACTTTAGATTACAAAGCTGTACTTTATCAAATATCATTACTGTTTTTTTTCGTATCACTTTTTTTATAGTGAATAATTCTAATAAAATATCAACTGAATCAAAACTCAGTATTGCATTGCATAACAATACAAATACAAATAATTCTTTTAAACACATCGATACTGCACATACAACAAGTGTTCCTATGACTAAAGAAAATAATTTCAATCATCCATGTAAAACATCAACTGATTATTCACGTGATTTACCATTGCCTAAATCTGTACAAGTAGCTGCTGCACATTTCACATCGGCTTTACAACTGGAAGCAGAAGCTGGGCGTACTGCTTGGCGAAATTTATTTAATCTATTCATAAGTGGTACAATTGATGGAAAGTCTGGAGAATCAGTTGGTTTAGATATAGTTGAAGCACGTCTATGTAATGTGGATCGTTTTTTCAAAGCGATGGATGAGGTAGGTGGGAATTTTTTATTTATAATGATTATTAGAATCTTTCATCATAGAGTTATGGTGATTGTTGTTTTACATTGGAATCGTGAATCAATTAGTGTTAGACCACCATTAGAAACCTGGAGGCACTGAAGGACCGTTTAGTCCTAGTACAGGACTCTCCAGCAATGCGCATCCATGATCGCTGCTCTCGAGTGTCGGACCTTAGGTCTCGCGTGCAAACTCTTAACCTTTAGCCCCCCCCAAGCCGGCATCCAACGGTGTTAGTGCATCGATCGAGGAGTTTCTCGCTACCTCACCCTTTGTTTCCGACAGTTATGGCCAATACATGACAGGTTTGGACTCCACTAGTCAGTGCTTCTCACTAGAATTTCGGGAACTTCCTTACGAGGCTAGTCACTAGTAGGCACATTCTACGATTTTGCATTATAGAATTATGGAGATTGTTATTTTTCTTTGGAATCGTGAATCATTGATTGTTAGATCACCTTAGATTGATTACACCGTTGGATACTTGCTCAGTGGCCTAGAGGTTAAACATTAGTACACGAGACCTGAAGGTCCTGGGTTCGATTTCCACTGGCGGAGATCGTGTATGCGCACAACTGAAGAGTCCTATAGTGAGAGCGAACGATCGTCCGGTGTTTTTGTTGGGAAGTAACGATTAGAAAGAAGCTGAGAAGAGGAAATCTGCTGGTGGCTACTGGACTAAGACAATGAAATGAGTCTGTGTAGAGTCGGTGAAATGATATTGTTTTAAATCGGTCACAGACTGATTCCTAATTATATTGTCGACATTTAACCCTGGTATTATTGTAACAATGTAGATTCAAATTGTAGCTACTCAAAAATATTTTTTATATGATTATTTTTTAGGTTGTAGTTTTAATCAAGTATCTATATTTTTTCAATCCCTTGTTTGGACACAACTGTTGCCTTATTCATCTACGTCGGATGTTTGAACTTTATTGAAACGATGGAAAATACGCTAAAAACTAAGATCTTTTGAGTTTGATATTTCCAGCATTCATCATCTCTGATGTAGGGGTATAGGTTGCAAGAAATCTAGGGGTGGTCAAACCAAGACGTGGCTCAAATCTATAAAGTTAGGGACAGCTGAACTGAACCATGTTAGTAGATGTAGACTACCTGATTGGGATCCGCAACCGGTACTTAGAGACTTTGAATGTCGTAGATGTCTTCTCTCAAATTCTAATCTTCTGAATTCCACATGACCGTGTTTTATCTTTTTGAATTTATTTCACTGGATTAAAGTTCCTGAACAATTTCTTCGAACATTGATCTTCTCCATTGTCGCTAATACTTCTACTACATCTACCACTGTGAGGTTTGAATCGACAATTGCATCTCTGTTCTAATGTGGTATGACAACTTGGACTGATGTATTTACGCACGGAGTTCTACGTTGTAGCTGACTGATTGTATTGAGCATTCAAATAGGTTCTAAGCTTCTTTTCTTTTTAGTACACGGGAACATCCAATCTCTGTTAGAATACCATAAAAAACCAGGAAGCACTTAATGGGGATGTTAGATCTCCAGAACTCGCTTGGTAAATGCCTTATTTTGGATTTCACGTTTGCGAGCATGGGTTGATCAGTTGACCTGGAGATTTCATTTCCCACCTGGGAGATCCCTGTCTGTGATTGGCTGCTGTGTATTTTAGTGTGCTATTTTTGTGACTGTCCCAAGGACGTTTCTATGATGTATAAATAAACGAGAGTTGTGTGTTTGATTGTATTGTGATTGCTGGGTGTTGTAGAATATGCTTTCTACGCTTACAAAGACTTCTGTTTGCGGCTTGGAATTCAAAGTAGCCTATCTGGACACTGGTGAACTCGTAATATCTTCAAGCGTACCAAGTGACGAACATAACAATTGGCGACGGGGACGGGATAATCGGATTTGAGTAGCATGTCGTGTCGCCGGATCCTCGACCCTCGCCCTCGTATTCCGATTAAGGTATACTCGTAATAGTTCAAGTATATCAAGTTGACTTGTTTACATGCAGGCGTAATTGTTTTGGCGACTGGACAGTTGTTTTGTTTCAATATGAGTGTCGTCACCGGTACGTCACCTATGAGTCTAATAGGGATTAAATTCAACACCAAGTCTTTCAGCGAATACTGAACAAATTAAACTGCTGCATTAGCTGAAGTTCTATGATACCATTCCAACTTCCAATAATTTTCAATAGAACGCAATCATTATACAATATGATTAGGGACAACTGCTTTAACTCAGACATATATCTTGTCAAAATTAATAGTGTGGTGCGAGCTATTTATAAGTAGTATATGACGTGAGTGTCAACGTAATGTCTGGCAGCAGAAGATGAGGGAAGATCAAGAAAGGAAGAGTTAGAACACAATGGAATTTGTATGAAACGCATGAACAGTGACATTGGATTGATGTTTTGTAACAGGAACAGCCCAGTTCGATATGATGAACTGATATTTTGCAAATTAACGATATGGTTTTCCGATTTTACTGGGTAACTCTGAAATTTTGCGAAATGCAATTCGGTTGCCCCACCTGTGTTCTCGTTCACTACAATAGTTTTATAATGTACTTAAGTGTATTGTCATATCAATTTATCAAAATCATTGTTTCACTCTCTTTCTCTCTCTCTGTTACTATTATCTCAGGTTATTGCTGAATTAACCAATGCATTGAATGAACGTAAAGAGGATTTAACAAACTCAATTAGTTTTGGTGAACGTTTACGTCGTGCATTACGTCTATATGCTAACGGGGATTGGTTTCATACTATAACTGGTCATTTAGATCCAGAAATGAATAGACTATTTAGTCAATTAAAACGACGTGCACGTTTAGCTGAAGCTGGTTTATATGATTTAGAAAATCAAATTGAAAGTTTATCCACGGAATTGAATACAACAACGGGTCAGTCAAAAAATACACCACCACCGCCACGACCAACAACAACAACAACATTATTATTGTCATCATCACCGAATCGACAGGCAAAAGAAAACTTGTCTGCGAAAAAAGGGTAAGTAAATAAATATTTTTCTGAATATTTCATTGTTGCCTTTTTAATTACGTTGCTGTCACTGAAAGATTGTGAAGATTGTTGAATTTCATCGGAACTGGTGGACTTTTAATGGTCTAAAGGCTAAGCGTTCGAATGCAAAGCTGAAGTGCCTTGGTCCGATTTCCGTGTGCATGATCATGGATGCATACAGCTGAGAAGTCTCATGCTAGAATGGAACGGTTATCTAGTGCTTTTGCGTTTTCAATGGGGGTCATGATTGCAATGTAGTTTGGTTACAATTAATTAATTGTCCCCTAAACTAAATAGAAAGGGAACAATAAGAAGATAACTGCCTCATCGTTCTAGTTTAGGATAATCCGAAAACACATACTAGCAAGTCATCGATAGAATCAAATTCACGACGTTCCAGTCTCACATGTTCGAGTAAGATACCATTGTGCTGTTGACTATGTAATTCAATGATTCATATTTTAAACGTTAAACTGTTGTGAATTTTTGTCACATTCTGATTCTGATACACATTTCCTATACGCCTGGTTTAATAACTATGCGAGTAAGTAATTTGGGAAACAACTGGGAGGCTATTATTCACAAAACCGATTATTTAAGCACAAAAATCACTATTACTTATAGATTTATCCCCCCTGACGTATAAATTAGGACCTCAATTCGGAGCATAATTGGGTTCTTCTGATGGCATGCCTCATTCGGAATTTCCCACTAACCGTTCGACCTTGATAGGTCATGTTACCACAGGACAATTTCGGTTTACCTAAATCAGGCTTGATTGTCTGAACGGCCTGTCACAAAGCGTTTCATCCAACCCTCAAAATTTGCCCCAGTGCAAATCACTGCCTTTTTCTGTCAATATAAATAATTTTTATGGAAATTAGTCCGATTTGGTAGGTAAAGTACCATTGAAAACTAGCGGTCATTCATTATCTACTTTATCTTAATAAGAACCTACTCAGCACTACACAACTCACTTTTGACTTAAAGTTCTTGAATCTGAAGTGTGAAGTTCTAATTGCTGGTGTTCAAACACGTCAGTAGTGAAGCCATTGTCATCAATCTCATTGGATAACACTGTCTCACCAAATGAGAAATTGATTGACATTGAACTTGTACAATCAGGTGGCGATTTATTTTAATTCCAATAGTTAATTGTTGACTGAGAATGGTGGAGAAAACTTATAGCTCAGGTGAATGATTGTGGTGGTGTTTCGTTCTCTGAGCTGGTTGTTTTGGTTGTGGAGCTTTCATTGTTATTCTTCTGAACAACATCATCAGCACAAACTTCAGATAGAAGTGAAGCATTCGAATTTCTCCATGTTTGACCTGTAGCTTGTTCTGCTAACCCCGATCTTGATTGGTTGCTGTTGACTTTTGACCTGTCGTTGTTTGCAACTTTGTTTTGATTGCATCCCCCTTTTGATCTGTTTCTTGATCCTGTGTCACCTATGATTTTTCTGATTGGTTGATAAATTGAGTCAATGTCGATGTGTTTGTTGATTGCTGATTGGCCTGAGTGCCAAGCTACGATATGTCTTTGATGTATGGCAGGATGATGCGTTTATTTGTTCCTGTGCTTGATTTCGCTTCTGATGATGGTTTCGGTTGATGTTTTTTGATGAAGTTGTGTGGATAGCCGTTCTTTCGGAAGATAGATAGTCATCAGGTGTTTTTCCTCGTTTTTTAATGCTTCGTATGTGCCGCAGTGTGTCTTCGCCCTCTTGAACAAAGTTTGTATGCAGTTGATCTTGTGGTTTCTTGGGTTGTTGCTGTCGTAGTTGAGAATTACGTCTGTGTGTGTTGGCTTCCGAAATACTTGAGTTTCTAGTTTTCCTGTGTTACTTCTGGTGATTAGTACATCCAGGAATGATAGGCTGTTGTTTGATTCCTTTTCCATCGTGAATTTGATGTCATCGAAGACGTTGTTGATCCGATTGTAGATGTTCTCCAGCTCATTCCTTTTGATAATAACGAATGAGAACCCACATTTATTACTGGCAGAATCGACGCTTCCACTCTCTGCATTACAGCTTCGGCGATGAGTCCTAATATTGGTGATCCCATTGGTGTTCCTTTTATTTGTTCGTAGACTCTGTTGTTGAATTGAAGATACGTTGTTAAGCATAGGTCGATGAGTTGTTCAAGCAGACTTTGATTCTGAAGCTTTGTATATTTGTGTAGATTTGTGTCGTTGATAAGGAGCAGAGATAGAGTTTCTTTAGCCAAGCTTGGCTCTATTAAGGTAAATAAGGCTGTTACGTCGAAGGATATCATCATTTCGTCGTTGTCAGTTTGAATCCTCTTGAGTTTATTCAAGAATTCTCTGGCAGACTTAATGGAGTAGTTGGATTCATCCACCAGATGTTTTAATATCCTTGAAATTTCTCTTGATAAGTTGTAGGTTGGGGTTCTGGGGAGAGGGATACAATAGGACGTAGTGGCATCTTAGTTAGGTTTGTGGAGTTTCGGCCTACCGTAGAATTGTGGAATTATTGGTCCATTGGATTTCATTCTCGATTGACTGAGAATCCTGATCTTCCTGATTTCGATTCATTGTGATGGGATTGTTAGTGTATACTAGTGAGCTATCTCCCATAGTAGAACCAAATAACTAATTATCTTATATTCCCTAGTTTTCAACTGTTTCCCCAGTGGAGATTAATCTTTGCCTGATTAATATAAATGCTGTTGTTTGAATAATGATTAGTAATAATAATAATTATTATTTCACTTTCAACTTCTCTTCTAGCATTACTAATGATTCAAATATTATGCGTACTATCGATACAAATGCTAATCTTATACGTACTGAACGTGGTCGAATTGATTTTATTATGGAGAATTTAAAACGTTTAGGTTTAACTCCTTTAAAATCCAATAATAATAATAATATCATTAAATGTGAGAAAACAAAGAGTAAACATCAATCTCAATGTAAAACTTTGCATAGTTCATTGATCAAACATGATCATGTCATTAATGCTAGCGGTGATTATAATGTTGTTGATGATGATGAAGATGATGAAACTAGTGAATTGTTGAATCCATATCGAACTATGCTTATGGAACGTGATCAAGCTTTGTTACGTTTATTTTCTAATTATAAATTACCAGTGATTTATTCATGCAAAGTTTGTCCATCTATTTCACATGAAGAAGAAGATGCTGATGACATTGTTAATGATCAGTGTCAATCATCATCATCATCATCATTTGCCAATGTACTACAATCAACCAATGGGAATCGTTCACAGATGAAAACAGGCGCATGTAAGTATTATTTTTGTGTGTGTGTGTGTGTCTGTGTGTATGTGTATGTGTATACTTCTGTATGTGCGTGTGTGTATGTATAGCGTGTTATTACAGTGGTGTTAACTTTGATAAATTGCACAAGGGTTAAGAGTTATCGACTACTTACCCTAATCATGTTGTTCATCAGATTGTATGTAGATGCGATTCTCCCTGCTTCAGGATGGGCTTGTATCGGCATCGGAACTAGTGATAGAGAGTGAAGCAGTTGAGCGTGTTGATTGCTTCACTTATCTCGAGAGGCTGATCAGTGCTGATTGCCTGGTGACTGACGAAATCTCAGTACGGATACAGAAGGTTCGATTGGCTTTCGCCAAATTGCGTCATTTATGGCTCAGACAAGGTATTATTTTACTAACCAAAGAACGAGTCTACTGCACGGCAGTTTGCTCCGTCCTACTTTACGGTTGTGAAACATGGCCAGTCAGAGTAGAAGATATTTGTAGGCTACTGGTTTACGACCGTAGGTGTCTCCGAGGCATTGCTCGTTTATCTTGATACCAACGAGTAAGCAATGCTGTCGTTAGGAAACGGGTGCTACGTAAAGATGGCAGATCAATAAATGAAGTAGTGAAACTTTATCAGTTGAGGTGGTTGGGACATGTATTATGTATGCCTAACAACCGACTGCCTTGTCGAGCTATGTTTTGCAATGTAGGAATAGGTTGGACGAAAGCTAGGTGCGGCACAAATCCATGAGGTCACCGACAAGTGGACTGAGTCATGTTGCTAGGCGTAGACTACCTGGTTGGGATCCGCCAGAAGATAGTAATCAATGGTTAGAGAACCTGAATGGCATGACTCAAAACCCCTTGCAATGGCTCAGGTGCATTTACTCTTTGTGTTCTTTCAAATCGTAACCTTTTGAGTTCCTCATCAGCTTTATCTTTTTCTTTCAAGTTTATTTCACTAGATTCTACTTCTTGAATAATATCGTCCAACCCTAATCTTCTCCATTACTGCTAACACTTCTACTGTCTCTACTTCTATGGGATATGAAGTTACATTTGCATCTCTGTGCTAATGTGGTATGGCAACTTGAACTGATGCACGAAGTTCTAAGTTGATTGATTGATTGACTGTCTGTATGTAGACTTATCTGAACCTGTGTATCTGTTGTGTTTCGATCTAGCGTATGGTGTAATTTCGGATTTCAAACAAATAGTAGATTTTTGTAATAAAAAAACATTTCCGAAATCGATAGACTGATTTACCAACACATACCAGTTCAACAGTGATTGACGAAAGCAGTATAAGACAGATCTTACTTTTCAATTAATTAAAATTTTAAATGGAACAACTCCGTAACTAGATTTGACCTTGGGAAAACCAAAAAAATAGCACATTCAAAGCAAAAGTAACTAAACAGATAACTACATAACCCAATGAAGGCGCTAGCATGTCATACGACGTTAATATTCAGTTTCTAGCTAATTGAAAGAAGATGGCTTCTTTTTTTTTCTATGAAAAAAATAGACATAATTCTCAAATCATTTCGTTGTAACTGAAGATTTTTTATGTCATGACCATGAAAGTGATCGTAGAGATATGTACGAAATCGGCTTGCTTACTTTATCAATGCACACTTTGTGGCTATAACAGTCAGTTAGTTATACACGACGTAGAACTTGACACATATATACATAAGTTCAGGTTACAATACTGCTGAAACATATAGCAATGAAATTATCAAGATGTGAATACTAGTGCATTAGAAATAATTGAAACTTAAGTGGTAGTTGGAAAGATTAAGTATATAGAATAGAATTCGAGAGTCTATAACCAATCCGTAGAGTATGGGGGTATTAGTGTGAATTCGTTCGCGCCATTGAGATTGACTCGGAGCCAGGTCATCGAGTATATGCACCTATTGGTTACAGTAATCTTTTGTCGGGGATGTTAGATCCCCAGAACTCGCTTGATAAATACCTCATTTTGGATTTCACGTTTACGAGCATTAGCAGTTGACTTTGAGATTTCATTTCCCACCATGGCTGTGATTGGCTGCTGTGTATTTTAGTGTGCTATTTTTGTGACTGTCCCAAGGACGTTCCTATGATGTATAAATAAACGAGATTTGTGTGCTTGATTGTGTTGTGTGATTGCTGGGTGTTGTAGAATATACTTTCTACGCTTACAAAGACTTCTGTCTTCAGCTTGGGATTCAAGGTAGCCTATCTGGACGCTGGTTCATTGTCTCGTTCGCGTTTATCCACTAAGGTGAACTCGTAACAGCTTCAAGCATACCTAGTGACGAACATAACATCTTTTAAACCTGAAACATAACTACCACCTACACAAATACAGCGTGCATCGAAATTCAATGATTTGATGAACTAATGGTGTATCATGGTTTAATAACTTGAAGCTTTCTTTCTAACCTGTAACTACATCATTAAACATCTTTCCCTGTTGTAAGCGGTGTTTAAGCTTACGTCAACTTTACAACAGACTAGTGTTATTGGTTGTGAGTTTTAGTAATTAATTTAGAAAGAAGTGACGCTTATTCATTGACGACCACAACACTTTCATGTTATCACTTTCCTCCTTTTCTCTCTTTCTCTCTCTCTCTCTGTCGATGTAGCTCCTGGGAATTTGAAGAATTCCAAATTAGAACAATTGCTTGTTGTCTCAGGAGAAAGTGAGTTTCCTGTTTTCCAAATAAAATATCAATGTTATTTTAGAGTGTAAATTAACATGTCCATCTTTTTTCGATGATGTAATCTTCCTTGATGGGACAAGTTCAATTCAAAGTTTTGTAATTGTTCAGCTATTAGCTACTGAACTTTTACGCCTGACATTTTAATGTGTAGATTTCTCGACACACGATTGCAGTTGGTGAAATGTCTGTTTATCGAATGCAGCTGTGTAGGGCCTTTCATGGAACCAATCGATTTAGGTGCTGTTCTATGACGCTACCTTCCATTGAAATATAGTGTTATCTGTATCATTTACTGTTTGGCGTATATCAAGGTTTTTTTCAATTGAAGTTATGGAGATTAGTGTTTTTTTACACATTGAAATTATCAATTATTGTCAGACCACCATTAGAAACCTGGGAGCAATAGACGGCCGTTTCGTCCTGGTATGAGGTTCATCAGCAGTGCGTATACACGACTCCTGAACTTTGCTGGATTCGACCCGAGGACCTTGGGTCTTGCGCGCGAACGCCTAACCTCTGGACCACTGGGCCGGCCTCCAACGGTACTAATGTCTAACTCTGATCAACCCGGAGATTTTCCACGACCCCATCCATTTGTCTTTGGTGGTTACAGCCTACACCCGACAGAGTTGAACTCCACTGGTCACGTCTTGATTGATTGATGATTTCAATATATCAAGATGTTTAATCTTTTCTCCTTAGTCCATAACCGTTTCGTCCTAGTATGGAACTCTTCAGAGGTGCTCGTCTATTGTGACCTTACCAGTGTGGATTCAACTGAAGACTGTTAGGTCGCTCACGAAGAGCATTTAGGCTTCAAACCATGATGCTAATATTTAGTTTCGATCGATTCACAATATTGCACGACCACATTCCCGTTGCCTGCGGTGGATAACTGTCCTATATTTTGTTTTCAGTGATAATCTAGATAAGATCAATTCGTGATTCACATTTAACGTGTTTTATTGCTATTTTTTTAATGTATACTATTGTTAAGTTTTATTTCTTATTTTAGTTGCCGCTGACACATCAGTCTCATGTGTTCCTAAAACTCCTCCTAAATCATCAGCTGAGAAAAGTGTAAATGTTGTAAATAAAACTGAAACTGTTCCATCTACACCATTGTCATCTAAAACGCCTACTTCTGTCATTAATAGTAGTAGTAAACTATCGGATATGACTTTCAATTTGGCAAGAAATCAAACTCCAAGCAATTCAACTGTATCATCAACAGTAAATTCTACACCAATTTCAAATGTTACTACTTCATTACATCAATCTTTCTCACTTGGAATTAAACCAATGCAACAACTCTTATTCACTCAACCAAACATCACGTCAGGTAATTAAAATCCGTCTATTTTTATTCATAACTCAATTAATTCAAATGGCTTTGTCAATTGATCTCTTTTTTAAGTACCCTTCAAAGCCGGAGGTTACTGGACATCTGTTTTTCCTAGTTGTATTTTCCTCGGCAATGCACACCCATGACCTCACAGGGCATCAAATCCTACTATCCAACGGTTATAGTAGTTAAGCATTCTCTGCAAGATCCGAAGACTCTATGTTCTCTCCCCGATGAAGTCGTCGGTGATCATTGATGAGAAGTCTTATACTTAGCTCCTTAATGCCTTGGTGCAAAAAAGCAAATGTCCTGTGTCTAAACTGGGTTGATGGGTACGAAGGATCTTTACTTAGGGCAGTCAGAAAACCGTGACACCAAACCAACGGTTCACATAGGTTCCAGTATCCTGAGGGGATAAACCTACTATTAGTGACTGACTACCATCCGGTTACATCTCATAATGCTGTTCCATTGCTTTGTGGATTATACGTTCGGGTCAGAGCCTCGGGGAATGGAGTATCCGAGAGGAGCATTCTCATTTCACACCTAGATCTAGTGATTTGTATAAATTTGCATAAATATTCATATACCCGTATTTACTAATAATTCTGTGTTTAAATAAATAATAAGTCCTCGATAGAAAAAGCTCCATAATTTTTTTTTCACTGGTCACTTGACTAAGACCATTATGTAATGTATTCAGTCTACAAATAATCTAATCATCACCCTACTTGTTTCACTTGTAATATGTTTCTGTCTTTATTGTTGCATGATAAATTACTTAGCGTTAATATTAATGTATTATTTGTTTATTTTGAAAAGTTCCACAAGCTTCCACCATCTCTTCAACTGCCAACATTAATAATGGTAGTGATTTATCTTCTTTGTTCAAGTCCCAATCACCGTCATCATCATCAACATCGTCTTCATTACCGACTATGAGTACACCAAATAGTATTACTTCTGCAGCTCATTCGTCTGCACCATCTGTCATAAACAATCCTAAAGTGTCTAGTCCAGTGTTTCAAAAAGTTGAGCCTAATGTTACTGCTACTACTACTACTTCTATTGTCGCACCTGTTACAACAGTCAGTGGTGGAACAAGTTTCATCAATTCTAATCCTCCCAGTGCACTTACTGCTGCTAATTCATTGTTCAATTCTCCAGGTATGATATTGTTTTGTTCCATCTAACCGTAGTTTTTTTTATATTTTTTAATTATAAAAGACGGTAAAAATCTCTGTTCACAAAATTCTCGGAAGCGGTGAGTAATCGCTGTTGAGTAATTTAAGTCATCGTTAACACATTGAATGAAGAATACACTCACTAAACACCTCAATACATGGTGTTATGATCACTGAAAAACCTTAAGTTTGATTTTGTAAATGAGACATTATATATAGTGTACACTGTTGTAGAAAACCCCGAGTTGGAATAGGCAGCAGTGTTTAACCATTACATCCTCTCTAATGACAATACTTGAGTAAGTTAACTTCATGTTGCCGTAATATCTCTTTGTAAAAGTTAATATCGCAGGTGAACGATTGTGAGCCACCTGCGACATGGTTCAGAATCGTTTGGAATGGCGCAGGTGCATCCACTCTTTGCCTTCTCTTAAATTCTAACCTTCTGCATTCTTCATAATCTCTATCTTTTTCTCCTTCTAAACTTATCTTACTGAATTATACTTCTGGAATCAAATCTTCGCTCCCTAATCTTCTCCATTACTGCTAATACTTCTATTATTGCTATCACTGTTGGATTTGTAGTGACAGTTGCGTCTCTGTGCTGATGGAGCATGGCAACCTGAACTGATGTACTTACGTACGAAGTTCTGTGTTGTATCTGTCTGCCTGTAAAAGTTAATCAACTGAAAAACTGTGAAGATTTGTTGTTCACAGTGAATTAATTACTTACCTTCCATTGAAATGACGAATCGATCATTGTTAGACCACTATTAAGAAACGTGAAAACCCTGGACAGCCATCAAATCCTAGTATGTGATTCTTCAGTTGTGCGCATCGCCAATCCCCATCCGTAGGACTCGGTCTCTTTCGTGAGCACTTAACCTCTAGACCGTTGAATCCGAATCCAACGGTGTTAATATCACACCCGACAGGGTTAAACTCCACTGTTCAAGGCCTCTCGGTAGGATTTCGAGAACGTCTTCATAAATCTAGTCCACTAGTGAGCACATTTACCTTTACCAATTCCACTTACAATTAATTAGATAGTTTCCATCTTCGAACTTAGATAACAATATAATATAATGCAATTCTGTTATCTATTAGTTTATTACTTACTCCCTAATGTTTCACATTACGCAAACTAGATGTTGAGTACACATGTGATCAAACCATCTAAGTTATTTCGTCTAATTTCAAAGACTGATTAGTCCTAACTGATAATTTTTAAAACCTACCACTAAGCAACATATGTGTGATGTCTTTGTTTTTTGTGTTCTTCCTTGTAAAATAATCTCATAAACAGGATAATGTTATTAGGTTCAAACTTATGGCGTAGGCGAGATATCCGTTCGGGGACTAAAGGACGCATGTACTGCGCAGCGGTTCGCTCCGTTCTATATGGATGCGAAACATGGCCGTTAAGAGTAGATGTTCGTAGGTTATTAGTATTCGATCATAGATGTTTAAGAAGCATTGCTCGTATATCGTGGGACAACCGAGTAAGCAATGCTGTCGTTAGGAAACGGGTGCTAGGTAAGGATGGCAGGTCAATAGATGAAGTGGTGAAACTTCATCAGTTGAGGTGGTTGGGACATGTGTTACGACTGCCTAACCACTGACTGCGTCGACGAGCTATGTTTTGTGGTGTAGGAGTAAATTGGAAGAAAGCTAGGGGCGGCCAAACCAATACATGGCAGAAATCCATGAAGTCACTGACAAGTGGACTGAGTCATGTCGGTAGATGTAGACTACTTGGTTGGGGTCCGCAAGACGAAAGTCACCAATGGTTAGAGACTTTAAACGACATGGCTCAAAATCGTTTGCAATAGCGCAAGTTCATCCATTCGTTGTGCTCTCTTAAATCCTAATCTTCTGGATTCGTCAGCACCTCTACCATTTATCTTTCTAAAGTTATTATCTCACTGAATCATACTTCTTGAATAATATTTCCAAACCCTAGTCTTTTTCATTACCATTAATACGTCTACTATCTTTATCACTATTGGATTTGATTTGACATTTGCGTCTCTGTGCTAATGTGGTATGGCAACCTGAACTTATGTACATACGTACGAAGTTCTACGTTGCAACTGACTGATTAGGTTCAAACTCTATTCATGTTTCCTTGTTTAAATGTTATCGTGGGGCTTTATTGTTATATTATTTCATTTGAACAGTTATTTCTAAGCCTGCTTTCACCAATACATCAAATGCTTCCAATAATACGCCATCATCGGGTACAGAAATAAATGAAATTCAGAAAGGAAATCATGTTTCAAACATCTCGTCAATTAGTTCGCCTCAAATTACTACTACTACTACTACCAGTGTTACTTCTAAACCATCTTCTGGACTATTCTCCTTCTTACCAACTCCAGTATGTAGCAGTTCAGGTGTAATGTTTGGATCTGGACAAAATCAAAATCAATCAAATACATCCGTTACTACTACTACTACTACGATGAGTTCCCTATCCAATTCTCTTTTCACTGGTTTACCACCATTGAATACAACTAGTACAACAACAACAACAACTAGTACAGATTCAAATTCACAATCCACAAAGTCAAATGTTACATTCAATAGTAAACCATTATTCTGTGCACCAAATCTAGTCGTTTCAAGTAAGTGAAATTTCACTCTTTCTTTTATACACATTTGAAATCATTAATCAATCATCATTGTTAGACCACCATTAGAAACCTGGAAGCACTGGACGGCCGTTTCGTCCTAGTATGGGACTCCTCAGCAGTGCGCATCCACGACTCCTGCTCCTCGCAGGATTCGAACCCGGCACTTTTGGCATTGTAGGCGAACGCCTTACCATCGGACCACTGGGCCGGCATCCAACGGTGTTATATGTGTTCTATTGAAGTAACGTGTAAAATGTAAACCTTTAAAGTGTGTTGTTTATTTACATGTTAACAATTCAAATATTGTTCATTGTTTCATCTGACTTTTTTTCTTTCTTTCTAGCCCCTACAAATGCTTCATCAACTGACAACACGAGTGGAAATATCTTTTTATTTGGCAATCCAACTCAATTGTCTTCTACAATGAGTACGGGAGCTACAACTACTGTTTCATCTACAACCTCTGTTGGATTTCCTTCTATTTCAAACAATGAAACTTTCAATAAAACACCGTCAGCTATATCTGCTGCGCCTTCAATTTTTGGTAGCACTACTTCAAGTACACCTGTTTCTGTGTCCGCTGCACCTTCAATATTTGGCGCTACAGGTAAATTTGAAATTTTCATGACAATCTGAGAAATTGTTATTTTTTTTTACCGACTAAATTACAATTTATGTGTGATTAAAATTTTTTTTATTTTCTTTCAAGTTTTCGGTAAAGCTACTACTCCAAACTCTGGTTTATTTTCTTCATTGCAAAATACAACATCTTCTTCCTCCAACCTACCACCAGCACCTGGAACAGTTGGTCTGTTTAGTTTTTCTACTCCAGCAACTACAACATCAAACCTCAACAGCACTGCTACCACTACTACTACTACCACTACCACTACTTCAGCAACTCTTAACTTTTCTAGTCCATTTGGTTCTTCTTCTGTTTTTGCTGGTAACTCGGCTACTACACCTGTACAATCTTTATTTCAAAATACAACATTAGCTAATGCCGCTGCTACTACTACTTCTACGACGACTCCTGCAGTGTCATCATCCGTAGGCCTATTTGGTACATTGGCCAATAATGCATCCAGTGCCAGTGGTAATAAACTGTTCAGTTCACAACCGACTACACAAACAGCTGGTGGCTTTCTATTTGGTTCTCCATTTAATACTTCAGTGTCGAGTGGTACTTCTAATTTGTTTCAAGTGAATACTGCCACAACTGCTACCACTACGTCGGCTGCTGCTGCTGCTACTACCGTCTCGTCATCAACATTATTTGGTACTGGTCTATTCAATACATCTTTACTGGGAAATAAAAATAACACAACTACTTCATCAGGTTTGTTTCTACTCTAATTTTTTACTTTATCACCGTTTCAGATGTGCTTTCTTGACCCTATGAAATCTCTTGTGAAATTATTTGTTTGCAAAAATAGATGTATGTTTTGGTTGTGAAGTTAAATACTGATGTTAGTCCAGAAATAGGATGTTTTTACACTGTAGTCAACAATCGTTTTGTGGTTTGGATATGTGTTACGTATGGCTAACCACCGACTGCCTCGACGAGCTATATTTTGTGGTGTAGGAGTAGATTGGAAGAAAGTTAGGGGCGGCCAGAACAAAACATTGCACAAATCCATGAAGTCACTGACAAGTGGACTGAGTCATGTTGGTATATGTAAACTACCTGGTTGGGGTCCGCGAGACGATAGTCACCAATGGTTAGAGACCTTGAACGACATGGCTCAGAATCGTTTGCAATGGCGCAGGCGCATCCACTCTTTGTATTCTCTCAAATTCTAATCTTGTGGATTCGTCAGCACCTCTACCTTTTTCTTTCTAACCTTATCTCACTGAATTATACTTCTTGAATAATATCTTCAAACCCTAGTCTTCTTCATTACCATTAATACCTCTACTATCTTTATCACTATGGGATTTGATTTGACATATGCGTCTCTGTTTGTTAATGTGGTATGTCAACCTGAACGTATGTACATACGTACGAAGTTCTACGTTGAAACTGACTGACAACAATGGTTTTATGGTGCTTATTCTTCCTTTCTTTCTCTTCTTATTACTCGTTGTAAACGAGTTCATGCAGATGTATATTTTTTTATTTTGCATTCAAACTTTATATCTGTCCATCAATTGAATCAACTAATCATGAATACGTTTAAACTATTGTAGGTAAAAGTATGATATATTGACGACCTTGATAGGTTTATCAGCCAATCAGAAAACAGTGCTTAGTCATGAAACAGTTAACAGTTAAATGCGCACAAAATACTCGTGAAATAACAAGTTTTATCGGAATTATCAACCCTCACGCTGTCGGAATATTTGTTGTAGTGGAAGGAAAAGTTCCAGTTCATCTGTGAAAAGTCAGGCTAGTGTTATGAGTTACCGGTTATCATCTCACAGGGTTTTCGTCACCAAATGAAACCAGCTCTAATGATCAAATGGTGTTGGGGTTAGGTTTCAAAAGTAAATTTGGTGTTCTAAGTGCAGTTTTTCAAACCAGCTGTGATCCAATGCTTTGTCAGCTTAGTGTGTACTAACTTCAGATACTTATTGTTGAGATTTAGAGCTGTTATATTTGGTTATCTAACTAGATCACTATCTTAACTTCACATTCAGTTTCATAATATAAATTTCTTTTGATTTCAAAGACCATATGATTTCATTTTCTAATTTATTAATAATAACATATACATGATCTGTCTCTGCACCTTAAATTTCGCGCAAAATATGCAGAGGGTTATTTCGCTTTTGATTGGTTCACTCAAGGTCGTCAATGTATCATACTTTTACCACAGAATGTGTTACGAATGACCTTCATTTAATCTGTTATGCTCACTAAGCATTCTGAGACTAAAATATTGGTCCATGCTACTTCATTCTATCCTTAGTCTGTCCAATCAGAAAGCGCAAACAGACAGTTGATTTACTCTGTTTATTTTATGACTCAAAAACTCACATGTTACTACACATTAACTACACGACCAAAGTGCATAATAAGTAAGAAATCACAATCTATTGCATAACTAGGTTATTCTCAGTACAAAACTAATTTTTGAGATGATGGACCTGATTTTAGTAGAGTTCCTTCCTCCGGGTTGGATGTTTTAATCATAGAGCTTTCGTTAATCGTCTCGACTATATCATCAATACAAAACTGCCATCCGGCTTAGTGAACTGAACTCCATCAAGAAACATAACTGATAGACAGGTACATAATGAATCTTGTAAACTGTCAATTATTTTTCATTAGTTGTTGATTTAAACGAACACTTGCCAAGCTCAACAATGCATAAATGCGCTGACAACAGATATTTTAGTAAGTGTACAGTAAAATCATAACTATCAATAACCCCACATTTCTTCACGTATCTGCCCATAACAATACTAAATTGTTATTCTTTTATTTTTCCACAAAAAAATACCCAGCGCAAACTACAAATTCTAGTCCGTTCAGTTTTGTTTCGGGCACTCCTTCATTATTTGGTGGTGTATCAATAACTTCTAGTCAAGTGAATTCAACAGCTCCTGGTACTGGTCTCTTTGCATCGGCGACTGGCAATTCTACTGGTGGCGGTGGTTTATTCGGTAATTCCCTGGTTTTGTTTTTTTATGTTTCATGCTCATCACAGTTTATTTGGCACTTGAAATCGAAACCAAAATAAAATGGCAGAAACCTTCGAAAGGAGTAATGAACTGTTGCAAGGACCACTCTGTATTGGTAAATAGAGACTACTTGGTTTGAATCTACACGATTGTTATGAATAAGTCGTTGGAAAGTGAAAAATCTGTAATGGCAAGTTAATTAATTTGATAGCGTGGGCGACATATCCAAAGGAATAGTCTACTGCTCATCAGTTCGCTCCTTCCTACTATACGGATGGGAAACATCGTTAGTAAAAATGGCGGATATTCGTAGATTACTAACTAGTATTCGATCATAGGCGTCTTCGAAGCATAGCTCGTCTATCCTGAGACCACTGGGTAAGTAATTCTGGTATTAGGAAAAGGGTACTAGGTAAGGATGGCAAATCGATTGATGAAGCATTGAGACTTCACCGGTTGAGGTGTTTGGGACTTGTGTTATGTATGTTCAATCAACGACTGCCTTGACGTGCGATGTTATCCGATGTGGGGGTGGGTTAGAAGATTGCTGGGAGTGAACAAACTAAAACATGGCACAAATCCATGAAGTCACTGACAAGTGGACTGAGTAATGTTGGTAGGTGTCGACTACCTGGTTGGGGTCCGCGAGACGATAGTCACCGATGGTTAGAGACCTTGAACGACATGGCTCAAAATCGTTGGCTTTGGCGCAGGTGTATCCACTCTTTGTGTTCTCTCTCTTATCCCAACCTTTTGAACTCCTCATCACTTTTACCTTTCTCTTCTCAAATCCATTTTAATGGATTATAGTCTACTACTATGGGGTTTGTCTTTACAAATCAATCTCTTTGTGCTAATATGCTATGGCAACTTGCATTGATTGATAAACGTACATACGAAGTTCTACATTGTAGCTGACTGAATGAATTGAATTGAACAAATCAATTCCAAAGATTTACAACCATTATTGAATAACTGACTGAAAATACATAACAATATAAATTGACCATAATCAAACATGCTGGTATATTTTCTACTTTCTAATCTGTTCTATTTTTCCAATTACTTTCACTAAAACACAAGACAATTTTAACTGGGAATAATAACTGTGACGAAAAAAACATAAGCTAAAAGCTTTATCTTTTATTGTTAGTTTAAACAATTTGCTAGGATATTCATACAATATCCTAAGATAATTATTTGTAAGTCTAATTCTATTGGTCATCCTAACTGTCAATAGCACAGACTTCAGTGTTGTTTCCTATTTGACCTAAATGTATAAATGCGCATTACATGTAACGTTTTATGACCCGGACCCGGATCCCTAGTCTGGGATCCTGATTCTGTTGTGAACTCAGACATCGTACTTTCTGGATGCTTGTAGAATACATGTTCTACTTCATATTACGTCTTCTTATTTTTACTCAATGGTGGTTTGGGACAATCAGATTAGAGTAGCCTGTCGTGTCGATGGATCCTCGCTCTCGTTTTCCGACTAAGGTAAACTTGTAATAGTTCATGCATATCAAAATGACGTGTTTACGTGTTGTAGGCGTAACACAATCTCTCACTATTCTATTGGTTACTTGATCTTCAACAAATCCCACTGAGTGTGTTAATGTTTTCTGAGAAAACATGTGTCATCAAAGTTGAACATGCATAAGAGATAATCACATATTCATTGGATTTTGGATACTTATCTTCTTGCTGCGCAAAAAAGTTCTCCCCTTTTCAGTTATATGATTCTTGTTTTCTTTTATGATGTAATCTCTTATTTCCTTTGTTTGTTTGTTCGTTCATATCACCATAGGTTCACCAATGGGATCCGATACGAAATCTGTAAACAGGTGAGTTATTCATCAAGATTATTACTTCCAAAAAGATTGAACAACCGTCTTTATTTATTGCATAGTCCGTTCACTTCTCCCTACTACAATGTGTGTGTGTGTTCACACAAATATGTTAATTGTTAAATGCAATGGGATGTGATGATGTGGTGTAGGCCTAGACATTGCTCCGATGATTGCATCCCATCCCATGGCACTTCTCTATTTACTTTACATTCAATCACTCATTATGATGTACAGTGTCGCTGATCTGAACCTCTCACCAAACTGACTTAGTTGAGCAAGAAGCCAATAATGGAAGAGAATTTAGTTGGTCAATGAATGTTATACATAAATACTTCTGATTGGCTCAGTCTATCAGTTATATTATCACTAGTCTCTTCATCCAACTTTTTATGAGCTCATATTCTATAATTGATTTCTGTAAGAAGAGGGTTTTTCTAATGTTACAACTCAGAACTATTGTAGTGAAAGAGAACACAGGTGAGGGCAACCGAATTGTATTTAACGAAAATTACAGAGTTATTCAGTAAAATAGGAAAACCATATCGTAAATCGTTAATTTACAAATCTTCCATCAATCATCAATCCATTGTCATTGACATTTCACTATTCATGCGTTTCATACAAATTCCATTTTGTGTTCCCACTCTTCCTTTCTTGATCTTCCCCCATCTTCTGCTGCCAGACATTACGTTTTTACTGGCGTCATATACTACTTATAAGTAGCGCGCACCATACTATATCTAGTGTCGTGTATTGTGCGTCCTGTGTTATTGAATTCCATAATGTAAGTGATGTTTAACATATAGCCACGTAACAAATATTCAATGACGTTGACTCCTTCCATATAAGCTGGTATGTTTATGCAGCAAAATACTAAGCACCCAAATAAACATCATTGGTTGTTATGTCACAGTGAGATTCCAAGTTTTTTTTGGTCCAATCTCTAATGTGAAGGCGGATGCATACTGTTGTTACTAAAACGAAACGACGGTCAAGTTAATTTTTTGGTTTTCTGTGGTTATATAAAGTCCAGATTGTGTTGTATGCTACAAAAATCATTGGCTTGACAAGATAAACACTTGTCAATTCATTTACTCTCTTAAATAGTAGTAATATATAACCCTTAATCATCATCAGTGACGTTGAAATGATTTATTTTGAACTTGTTCCATCCTTTAGTATTTATTGTACTAATGTAGCATACAATCTATTTTGGATTCTTTTCCTTCTGTCATTTTATTCTTCAGTTTATTCTCTGTATCAAATCTTAATCTTGGTGGAAATGCAACACCTCAAAATCCTACACAAAATGCTTTTGGTAAACCATTTGGCAGTACAACTTTTGGAAATCAAGGTTAGTTATTTTATTTTGTCGACAAGTTATGTTTTGCAGTGTAGGAGTAGTAGATTGGAAGAAAGCTAGGGGTGGCAAAACTAAAACATGGCATAAATCCATGAAGTCACTGACAAGTGGATTGAGTCATGTTGGTAGATAGATGTAGGCTACCTGGTTGAGGTCGGCGAGACGAAAGTCACCGATGGTTAGAGACCTTGAACGACATGGCTCAGAATCGTTTGCAATGGCGCAGGTGCATCCACTCTTTGTGTTCTCTCAAATTCTAACCTTCTGAATTCCTCATAATCTCTACCTTTCTCCTTCTAAATTTATCTTAGTGAATTATACTTCTCGAATCATATCTTCGCTCCCTACTCTTCTCCATTACTGCTAATTCTTCTACTATGGCTATCACTCTTGGATTTGTAGCGACAGTTGCATCTGTGTGCTGATGGGGCATGGCATGTCTATCTTATTTTATCTGTCTGTGTGTGTATGTGGATAGTTGTCATACGTGTTTGTATACGAAGTCGATCAATTATTTATGTTTTTCTTAGTTGTAGTAAATACATACTTCCTTGGATATTTGGTTACCAACCAAATATATCGTAACTGCTGACTTGATATGATGGTTAGGCTTAACCAAAATAAATTAACTGAAACACTCCTTGGTATTGATCCGTTCGTACTAAACAAGTTAGTCGTGGAACGATAAATTTGAAAGTATCAACTTAAGTACCAAGGGTGTGGTCGTACAGCTGGCTGTCAGTCAGTTAGTCAGTCAGTTGCAACGTAGAACTTCGTACGTATGTACATAAGTTCATGTTGCCATACCACATTAGCACGCAGACGCAAATATCAAATCAAATCCCATAGTGATAAAGATAGTAGTCGTGGAGATAAGAGAGGTATGTGTGGGTGTAGGAAGGATTTGATTTTGACTCATTCGGTCTCCTGCGCTGTTACGGGTATTAGGGCGGTTGTTACTTCCCGGCTGCCCACACCGTAGAAGTACAGCTGGCTGTAATAAGGTATGACGACAGTAATGTATTTTCTTTAGAAAACCACCATCTTCAGTGATGCTAGCTGCTCTTAATCAGAGAGGGATGTTAGAAAAGATTGCCCCTTAAAACAACAGATTTCAGTTTGTTCGGAAGACTGCTACTGATTCCTTTCGTTTCCTGATGGATTATCCCTCTGTAGTGTAAACAATGGAGTATTGTTGACCCTTCTCACACTGCTGAAAGCACTCACGTATACCTTGACTAACGGCTTAGTGTCAGTAGAAAAAATTTGTAGAGACTATCGCATTATGAATTGACACTAGCTGAATAGCCATTGAAAACCAGAAATCATTCAACAGATGTTTCGCCTTAGTGTGTTTGTTACCAACAATCCAAACGAGAAGCTTAATCGTATTATTATTGATACAAATTAATTATTCCCCTTTTCTTAATTTTCCTATGTATCTTGTCTCATCATATAGCTAATCCTCCTACTTTATTCGGATCACCTGCTTCAGTTTCACAAAATAATATTATTCCTTCTGGTACAAGTCCATCTGCACCATCATCATCATCAAATCCTCAATCTGGACTATTTAGCAGTTCAATTTTAGGTTCATCATCATTATTCAATTCTCCTACACCGGCCAGTAGTACACTGAGTGGTGGTGGTGGTTTATTTAGCAATCTAGGAGGAGGAACACAAGTGAATACAGGAACAAGTTTATTTGCTACACAAACATCTCCTACCGGTGGTACAGCAGCTATTGGAGGTTTTGGAAGTTCACCTACTTTCGGAAGCCCTGCATTTAATAAACCAATTAATACTAATCCAACTGGACAAGGTTTATTTGGGATGAGTGGTTCTGGAGCATTTAATTCTACTGGTGGATTATTTGGTTCAACTGCACCAATTGTTGGAGTTTCATTGTTTGGTGGTGGTGGTGGTGATACTAAGAGTTCACCGGTAGGCGGTGGATTGTTTGCTGCGTAAGTAGACAATGTTCTTTGTATATTTTTTCTGTAGATTTCTAGATTACTTCTTTTTTTAAAAACAAAACAATTTCCTGATCATTTTTTACATGCATTTATCAATAGTAGGCATAATGTGTGACCTTATCGCCTTTTCCTCTTGAAAAATATAAAGTCAGGTTTTTTGAATCTAACTGAAGACGTTGAAATAGACTTGTTGTAGGTCAAGGATAACAATAAATTGATACCACTTTTTTTCATGACTTAAATATTGTCTACGAGTGTTTTAGAATTCGTTACTGTTTGATTTGATCAAAAGTACATTCTCCATCATGCAGTGTTTAAATGTTCAACTGCATAATATACATTTGTTTAAATAACAATTTTACTTGTTCTTTGGCATCTTTCAAATTTCAGAAATCCTTGGTGAGCTATAACTAACTCATCGTCATTATATTTTCTCTAGTTCTCAAGTTTAACTTAGTGTTATCGACCCAGTGTGAAATGTATAACATTCTACGGATAGATTTGATATTATACTAAATCGTATAAGGCAACTACCCTTAGCCACAATGCAAGCATGTTCGGGAAGCAGTTTTCCTCCTCGAAATCTAAAATTTTGCTTCAAGATTGGCTAGCGTCGTCACCTGAACTAGGGATAAGAAGTCAAGCAGTTGAGCGTGTTGACCGCTTCACTTATCTCCAGAATCTAATCAATGCTAATGGCGTGGTGACTGACGAAACCTCAGCAACGGATACAGAAGGCTCGATTGGCCTTTGCCAACTTACGTCATTTATGGCATAGACAAGATGTCCGTTCGCTAACCAAAGAACGAATCTACTGCACGGCAGTTTGCTCCGTCCTACTTTACGGTTGTGAAACATAGCCAGCAGGAATTGAAGATATTCGATCATAGGTGTCTCGTAAGCACTGCTCGTTTATCTTGGGACAACCGAGTTAATAATACTGTCGTTAGGAAACAGGTGCTAGGTAAAGATGGCTTATCAATAGATGAAGTAGTAAAACTTCATCAGTTGAGGGGGTTGGGACATGTGTTACGAATGCCTTCCTGCTTCTAGACTTATCTCACTGAACTATACTTCTTGAATAATATCTTCGATCCCTATTATTCTCCATTACCACTATGGGATTTGAATTAACAGTTGCGTCTCTATGCTGATGCGGTATGGCAACCTGAACTTATGTACTGATGTACGAAGTTCTACTTTGTAACTGACTGACTGACTTGTTTATTCATCAATCTTAACTGATATTTCTTTTTTACTGTTACACTATTTTTTTTTCCTATTATGTAGCTTAGGCAATAAATCAGATAATTTAAGTTTTGGATCACTTGCTCAAAATTCACCACCCGGTGGAAATATTCCTGCATCACCTTTTGGTATGTGTTGGATTTTTTGCGTTTCTATTTATTTTACTTTCAACTACTGACTTGACTACTATTTATCAGTTATGTTTGAAATGTGATTTTTTTTCTTCTAGGTGTGTATTGTTGCACTGAAATTGGTTCATATCAACGACTAAGATTAATGTTGGAGTGTAAAGGAGTTAAGTGCATTAATCACTTCACTTATTGTATAAGTCTCGCTAGTTCTCATGAATTGGTGTATGATGAAATCTTGACGCGAGTTCAGAATGATCGGTAGGTCACGTCAGATACCAGTTCATTCGTAGTTAAAGAATCTTCAGCAGTATTCAGTCAGTCATTTGGAATGATTTGATTGTGGTCAACTTGGTCTCGTGCTGTTAAGGGTATGAATGCGGATGTCACTTCCCGACTACCAACCTAGTGAAGGGGTGTTTCTTGAGGAACTTGAGAAGGAAGGTAGCTTAGCATTTGTCTTAGAAACCTGGAAGCGTAACCGCAGAGCCTAAAAGACAACTGCATAAGACCGGTTGCGCACGGCCTTTTTATGAGAAGTTTTTAAAGTGTTAGCTCTGCTCTTTTTTAAAAGGCTTTACCTCCGGAGACAGGAATCTGTGAGTTAAGGTGAGGTGTGACATTTTTACGGTCGATCTTTTCTAACCCTCTCCTTCCGTTGTGAGAAGGCAGCATCGCTGCAGATGATGGTCGTCCGAAGGCAACACATTACTGCTGTCACACCCTTCTATAGTCAACAGTACGACTTCGCCCTCGGACCTTTAGTTGCTGCGATTAGTTTTACCTTTCTTTAATCGACCTGCCTGGCACGATAGAACCTAAAGGAACATATATTCCAGCCTATATAGACATGCCCGACCACTACGTCAAGGTAACAGCTGCGATCTGGGTTCAGCAGTGGTGTGTGTGCCTTCAACAGCTCTCATTCAATAATTAGTCGCGAATCAAATCCAGTATCCTTAGGTCGCTTTATTACCGAAACCATTAGTAAATCTTGAACCTAGTTGGTCAAACTGTCAACAAAATGTATTAGCAAATCTGAGTCATTTGTCATAGGATTTAAACCTGACACTTAGATCATAAGCTTTAATTTTCTCAATTACTTACTATAAAACAGTTTAGGAAAGACAGAACAGTTGTCCATTATTTTCTGCTTCTCACTGGTTGTTCGACTCAAGTTAGTCCGTAATATACTAACTATAATTTCATTTCATTGTAATCATAGTTCAATCAATGTTAGACCATCATTGAAAACTTTGATGCACTAAATAGCTGTTTAAGCCTTCTTAGTCAACTCCAGCAGTGCTCAACCTAAGCAATCGAACCCAGAACCTTCAGTCTTGTGTGCTAACGCTTAACCTCTAGACTACTAAGCCGACGTCCAATCATGTTATTGTCCAAATTCAGTCAATCCCATGATATTGACCAACCCTTATCCATCATCTTTTCTCAATAAAACTACCTCACAACTAACACACACACATCACACTCCATCAATCATAGCTTCTTACTAGAACTCTACTAATTTCTGTGCGTACAATATACTCTAACTAATTGTATATTTTAAATAAAACTAATTAAAATATCATGTGACTTCTAGGATTAAATTTCATCATTTCTCTATTATTATTATTATTATTATTATTATTATTATTATTATTATTATTATTATTATTATTATTATTATTATTATTATGTATTTATAAGATAATGAATGCAAGAGAAAAAATATTTTTTTCAAGGTCATATTAAGGTTACTATGAATGAACATCAAGATTAAGATAAGCTTTTAAGTTAATAAATAATAATGATTATTATACTGCATCAATTTCATTTTTATTCTTTCTGAAAAGAAAAAAAACTAAACTATCAATCAACACACGCAAGAAAGAGGATTGTGTTCATACACGAAAATAATAGGCCAATTAATTAATAGTTTTTCATTGATACCCCAAGTTTCAACACAAATTCCTTCCTTGTTTGGCGATCTTAAGCAAGCATCACGACTGACGTGATGTATAGTCATTGAGTTCGATTGTTAAATCACTTGATCCGTCGTCTATTAAACTTTCATAAGCACAATGTAGAACTGTAGTATTTTATGTTGTGTAGAGGCATTCTTGTTTTAATCCTCAGCATGCCTATACTCTGTAGTTAGAGATAGCAGGTGATATAATTTAAAGTTAGTTACTGGACTTCGCAGATGATCTGGCTCTTCTATCGCACACGCAACAACAAATGCAAGAGAAGACGACCAGTGCAGCAGCTGGTCTCAACATACATAAAGGAAAAAACAAGATTCTCCGATGCAACACAACATGCACCGACCAAATCACTCTTGATGGAGATGCCTTTGAGGACGTTAACACCTTTACATATCTGGGCAGCATCATCGACGAGAAAGGTGGATCGGATGCAGATGTGAGGGCGCGGATCGGCAAAGCAAGGACTGCATTTCTACAGTTGAAAAATATCTGGAACTCCAAACAACTTTCAACCAAAACCGAAATCAGAATTTTCAATACGAATGTGAAGACAGTTCTACTGTATGGAGCGGAAAGTAGGAGAACTACCAAAGCCATCATCCAGAAGATACAAGTGTTTATGAACAGTTGTCTACGCAAAATACTTCGGATTCGTTGGTCAGACAAAATCAGCAACAACGAACTGTGGGAGAGAACAAACCAGATTCCAGTGGAGGAGGAAATCAGGAAGAAGAGGTGGAAGTGGGTAGGACACACACTACGAAAAGCACCTAACTGCATCACGAGACAAACCTTCACGTTGAACCCTCATGGCAAAAGGAAAAGAGGAAGGCCAAAGAATACATTACGGCCTATGCTCCCTTGGGGCTAACAGGCGTGAGTAAGTACTGGCTATACACATACTACTTTATAATTAGACGATATTATTCAAGAAAATGAAATTGGTTGATGAATTTGTGCATTTTTGATGATGAGAACGGTTCTTGTTTATGTGACAGCGATAATAAGAAGCCAAATACGGTTTTACGGATGAATATATTTCATAGACAGACAGACAGACAGATACAACTCAGAACTTCGTACATGAGTACATCAGTTCAGGTTGCCATATCACATCAACACAGAGATGCAACTGTTTGTTCAAATCCAAGAGTGATAGCGATAGTAGAATTATTAGCAGTAATCGGGAAGATTAGGGAACGAAGATATGATTCGAGAGGTAGAATTCAGCGAGATAAATTTAGAAGGAGAAAGATAGAGATTATGAGGAATTCAGAAGGTTGGAATCAGAGTGAACACAATTAGTGGATGCGCCTGCGCTATTGGAAACGATTCTGAGCCATGTCGTTCAAGATCTGTAACTATTGGTGACTATCGTCTCGCGGACTCCAACCAGGTAGCCTACATCTACCAACATGACACAGTCCACTTGTCAGTGATTTGATGGATTTGTGCCATGTTTTAGTTTGGCTGCCCCTAGCTTTCTTCCAACCTACTCCTACACCACAAAACATAACTCGTCGCGTCATTCGGTGGTTGGGTATACGTAACTCGTGTCCCAACCACCTCAACAGATGAAGTTTCACTATTTCATCTATTGTTTTGCCATCTCTACCTAGAACTCGTTTCCTAACACCAGCATAACTTATCCGGTGGTCCAAGGATATACGAGTTATGCTTCGAAGACTAGTAACCTACAAATATCCTTTACTCTTAACGGCCATGTTTCGCAACCATATAGGAGAACGGAGCGAACTGCTGCACGGTACACTCGTCCTTTGGTTAACAATCGGATATCTCGCCTGTGCCATAGGTGACGCAGGTTGGCAAAAGCCAATTGAGCCTTCTGTATCCGTGCAGGATACATTTCATTCATGCATTCATTTAAGCAGACAGACATGAGAACTGAAAACGCACAAGCAAAGCAAGTGAATTGGAGAAGGCGAGTGAGCCAACTCAAATGCGTCGAAGTCAGGCGTTAATAGACTGGACATGTAATAAGCGAGTAAGCATGCAAGCACACTCAAATATAAAAGAGTCAATACTGTTATCGAACAAACTGAAATGTATGTGAGGAGCCACTGCTTACATACATTAGCAGACATGTTGGGATATTTTAGAAGAAATCTATTGACGGCTATGCTAAAACATGACATCAGTGCACAAAGTCATTGATTGTTGATTTGGCCTATGTTGATAATTGCCTTAGATTTTTATGTGGTCACTGTAAGTAATGATTAGAAGCAATGAATGGTATAATTCGTAATCGATCGCCTAAACGCATTCATCCTAAATTTTTTGAAATTCTCTCCTCTTTTCATTTTTCCACAAGTTTATCTTATCTACTATCACTGATGCTGTTGACAAAACTAATTCTATTCTGTTGATAAACTGATGTTGTGACAATCTCATCTGTCTGTGGCAATTCGGACTAATGGAAATATGTGTTAGATTTTATGTTATGTAGAGCTGTAATTATAATAATAATAATAATAATCGTAAATCAATCATCGTTAGATCACCACCATTAGTAATCTGAAAGCACTGGATGTCTGTTTCGTCCTGGTATGAGACTTGTCAGCAGTGCACATCCACGACCTCTGATTCAAACCCCCCGAAATCTTCGATCTTTTGCTCGTGATCGCTTAACCTTTGCACCACTGAGTAATCCTCATCAACGGCGTTAATGTCTAACTCTCACCCGTCTAGGAATCTTCTGCAACCCCTCCTCATTGTCCTCGTTAATTACTACTTCCACCTGACAAGGGTTGAACTCTACTGGTCACAGTTTCATACTAGAACTCTGAGAATCTCTTCACCTAACTAGCCACTAGTGAATACACTTTTTTTAAATTTTCTTTAAAGAATTATAACGATCGTTGTTTTACCTTGAAATAGTAGTCTACCGATGATTGGTTCACGATTTTGATTAATTTGTCTTATCGCATGTTTATGATTATGATTATTATTCTAATGAATATACCCTTACCCACTTTTTGTTTCTTTAATTTTTTTTCAAATTTCTATACAGGTACAAGCCCGTCATTTACTCAAAGACGTGCTTAACAAACAAATGCAAATCTTATAGTTTTGTCTATAAATATATATATATATATATATTAATTTTTTCCCCTCTGTACAAGATTATTTTTTGTTCTTCTGGAAAAAAAATTATTCTAAAGAATTTTTTTCTGTGAAATTTTTAACATTCTGTCACCCCACGTATTGTTATTGTGTAACAATTGTTGTTCAATGTTGAAAATAAATATTAATAAATCTTATTTTTTTCTGATTGTTGATTTTTTCCTCTAAATTACAATATTTAATATGATGTATGCAACTTTTTTTAAAAAATAACATATCCTTTTTTGCGTTAACATAAATAACCAACGTAAGTTAGACCACCATCAAAGATCTTGAAGCATACTGGAGAACTGTTTTTGTCCTAGTAGGAGAGCCGACTCTTCATTAGTGCGCACTCATGATCATGCCCATAGTAGTAATCGAACCTAGGGCTGGCCTGTTGTTACAGGAACCTCTAGATCGCTGCACTAGAATTCATTGGTGACACGTTCAGTCAGTCAGTGCTGGTACGGGTATGTGGGCGGTTATCACTTCCCGGCTGCCCACACCGTGGAAGGGTGTTTCTTGAGGGACCTGAAAAGGAAGGTAGATTAGTGTTGGTCTTAACGACCTGGGTGCGTGACCGCAGAGCCCAAGGGACAACTGCTTGAGGCCGGTCACGCACGGCCTTTTTATGAGAAGTTTTTTGAGTGTTAGCTCCGCTCTTGAAAGCCCTTAGTGGGCACCCTTACCGCCGGAGACGGCAATCCGTGAGGTAGGGTGAGGTGACATTTTTAGGGACGACCTTTTCTAACCCTTCCTTCCTTGTGTGAAGGCAGCATCGCTGCAGATGCTGGTTGTCCGAGGGAAACACCTTACTGCTGTCACACCCCACTGTAGTCAGCATTACGACTTTGTCCTCAGACCTTGGGTAGCTGCTTTTCGTCTCATCGTTCTCCAGTCGACCTGCCTTGCATGGTAGAACCTTCAGGAACATAAGTTCCAGCCAATATAGCTCGGTTGCGTCATCACGATAGGCAAGCCCAACCACCACGTCAAGGTAGCAGCTTCGGTCGGAGGTGACACGTTCAAGCGTGATACAGAAGGTTCTAAGTTTGATCCTTATTGAGAAGGGATTATAAATACTCAAGAAAAATGTTCTTTTTTATTCTGACTGGATAACCTATGAGAAGTTAGTTACATTACTTCTATTATAAACCAGAGTGATGGACATTAACTTTTCCATAACTTTAATGCACAGTGGTCGATGTGGTATAAGTTATAGGAAGCAGATCATCAATAGACTCATCAGTCTTAATCCAATGATTTAAAAACAAGTACTTCATTCATTTTCCTACTGTTATTGTACTCCTACATGGTACAATGCAATCAAATTACATCCATACTTACATACGTGTATACTGTGGAGTGAGTGTAGAGGTCTGTTTATCATCCAATAAAAAAAGGCATCTCCGATCTCATTTACATTACATAAATTCAGTCTGGTCGACTATGACAATAACACCGCATACAGTGTACAATTTGTGTATGAAAGCATGAAACTTTTGTCTTAGATACATTTTTTATGCATCCATTTAAAGTGTATTCTTATTCTTGTTTCAAACTTTCTTTTTTGTTCTTTGTACAAGGCAACCGCTCCAGTAGCTAAAGCTCCACACAGTAGTGAATCAATTAAAAAAAAATCCAATCAAAACAATACTAATAATAAACATGATAATTTTCGTTCAAAAACTGTTGTTGGTACACCACCATTAGATTTACAATTAATACGACGACATATGTCTATTTCACAACCGCCTGTTATAACACCAGTGACATTTTATTCAAAAGCAAAAATCTATTGGAGTCAAGTTCCAGCTACCATAGATGGAATGTTATCAGGTTATACATCATTGAATGTACCGGATATCGCGGATTCTGAACTGTTTCTTGATGATTTTGGACCATCTACAACAGCGTATGCATTAGATTGTGGTTCAGGTATTGGACGTGTTACAAAACAATTATTATTACCACGTTTCTCTGTTGTGGATATGGTTGACTTGATACAAGTATTTCTTACTGGAACAAAAGAATATGTTGATTCTAGAGATTTTCATCGTGTTGGTGAACGTTTTTGTTGTGGTTTACAAGTAAGTCAATTGTTGTCTTAGATAATTGTATCCATTAAAAAGAAAGTGAATGTGTCGTAGGTGGAAGAGAGATGAATTGCTTAATTTTGATTTGCTCAGTCATACATTTTAAAATTCAAACTGAAATCATTAATCAATCATGGTTAGGCCACCATTAGGGACCTGGAAGCACTGGACGGCCGTTTCGTCCTGGTATGGGACACATAAGCAATGCGCATCCACGACGCCTGCGCCTGGTAGGATTGGCCTAACCTCTGGACCACTGGGCCGGTATCTAACGGTGTTAATATCTAACTCTGATTGATCTACGGATTTTACGCCACCTCACCCATTTGTCTTTGGTAGTTACTGCCTACACTCGACAGGGTTGAACTCCACTGGTCACGTCTTCTCACTAGAACTCCGAGAATTTCCTCACGAAGCTAGTCACTAGTCAGAGAACACAAAGACTGGATGCACTCGGTTGTCCCAAGAAATACAATTAAATCTTCGGAGACATTAATTATCGAAAACCAGCAACCCACGAATATCTTCTACTCTTACTGGCCATGTTTCACAGCCATAAAGTAGGACGGAGCCAACTGTCGTGCAGTAGACTCGTTCTTTGGTTAACAAACGGATATCTTGTCTACACCATAAGTGACTCAGGTTAGCAAAAGTCGATCGAGCATTCTTTATGCGTGTTGAGATTTCGTCAGACACCAGGCCATCAGCACTGATGAGACTCCCCAGATAAGTGAATCGGTCAACACGCTCAACTGCTTTACTCCTTATCACAATTCATTCGATACTAAACTGTTGATTTTTACATGTGCACTATGATTGGTTTCTTTTCCGTTTTTTTTTTCAAAGTTGACCAGCCTATTTGAGACTCATCAATTGAATATATCTGTATCTCAGTTTTGATGCTGATATATCACGACTTAAACTGATAATATTTAGTAGCATCATACTCATTTAATAAGTTGGTGACTAACTAAGCTCAGAAGTTCAGTTTTCAATAAGGTTAATGTTTGAATCTCAATCGACATTGAGTTTGAACATTATTGTGAGCATCTTCAGTGGGATATTAGGTACTTACAACGTCAACACGTCAACTCGATATACTTGAACTATTACCTAGTCGGAAAAACGAGAGCGAGGATCGAGAATCCGGCAACACGATATGCTACTCAAATCCGATTATCCCAATCCCCATATTTAGTAAAAATAAGAAGACGTGATATGAAGCAGAAAATGTATTCTACAAGCATCCAGAAAGCACGAGGTCCGAATCCACAAGATATTCAGGATCCCGGACCAGGGATCCGGTACCGGGTCGTGGTCATAAAATGTTATAGATAATGCGTATTTGTACATTTTGGTCGCATAGGAAACAGCATCGAATTCTGTGGCACTGACAGTTAAGACGACCAATAGGAAGTAACATTTGAAATGACATTACCAGTCCGAATGATCAATAAGAGACAACATTGAAGTATTTAACTTTGACAGTTAAAACGACCATAATTTTGACCAATAGGAATTGACCAATAATTCTCTTAGGATATTGGATAAATATCTTAACAACAACTTACTTATTTACGCCTGTTACACGTCGTGTAGTATAGGCTGCCGACCAGCTTTTTCTGGTTTGCGATTTCTAGCTAGTTCTCTTTCCCGTGAGTCAAGATCGCTAACTGCATGACCAACCTAGATAGGTGTCTTATCAACAAGACAAGTTAAGAGATTCAGTTTCATGGTAGATGGTAACGAACAATAGGTTCACATGGCATTTGCTCGCTCAAGGCACTGTAGCCTGTATACACACTGTTGGTTCCAACTCCCTTACGTGAATCTTTCATAGTCACTTACCTTGTTTAAGCGTCGGTAATTCTCTCTTCTCCTTTTGATTTCGTACTGAGTTGCTGGTTATATGAGAGTATTTTTAGAGAGCAAGCAAGCTTATCCTCCTCACTCTTGGTCATACCAGACCATTTTGTGCAACCGAATACACCTATCTCGATTCACACTTGTTATCCCAATATCTTTTTAGATTGTAATTTGTTTTTATGTTATTTTTTCACACTGTTCATGAATTTTGTAAATAAAATTTTCATATCTGTATATATATATATATATATATATATATATATATATATATATATATATATATATATTTAATGATTAATTATGGAATATATATATTTCAGGATTTCACTCCACCAACTGGTCGTTATGATTTAATTTGGATACAATGGGTATTAGGACATTTATCCGATTTAGCATTGTTAGCATTTTTAAAACGTTGCGCTCGTGGACTATCATCGGGCGGTAGAATTGTAATAAAAGAAAATATCACTTCACCTGGTGGACATGATGAACAATCTATCATGTCATCGGAAGAAGTGAATTTCGATGAAACTGATAGTAGTTATACAAGACCACGTTCGGCGTATATTAATGCTTTTGCTGATGCTGGTTTAACGCTGATTGGTGAACGAGCACAAACTAATTTCCCATCATCATTTTATCCTGTTCGAATGTTTGCATTAACCTATGATGGTAATTCGAAAGCATCATCACCGACAAAATCATTGGCGGAAGTTATGCCACCTCCACCATCACCACCACCTGTAATTACCGAAAAATAATGTGCCCTAGTTTGTTTTTGTTTTTCTCTCTATTGACAAACAAGTGCTACAACCTGTCTATTTTTTTTGTTGTTACAAGTGTATGTATGTGTGTGTGGGTGGGTGCGTGCATGTATGTAAAATGTACATTTTCTCTTGTTCTCACTACCTCTACTTCACTCCACTCCACTACGACTCTCCCTCTCTTTCTCCTACTGTTTCTTCCTCTTTAGCTCACTCTTCATAATTACAAGTGCAACCGAAATGTGTACCACTACTTTCTCGCTCTCTCTCTCTCTCTCCATGTCTGTGTGTGTGTGTCTGTGTGTTTGTGACTGTGGAAAATGAAATAAAACAAAATAAAATCAAGATTATTTTTCTATTGAATAAAAAAACAAGCCAAACCAATAATTAATTGAACATTGAACCGCGGGTTTTTCTATTTTTATTATTGTTTAAACTGATTTGAAAGTGTGTGTTTGTGTGTGTGTACAATATGCCTAATCCGCTGTTGCTACTGCTGATATTACCACTGTACTGTACTTTTCCATGTTTGCTCATTTGCCCAATAATAATGGAACTATAGAGTCAGTCAGTCAGTGGTTATTTTTTAAATTTGAAAATTGAAAACTTTTGAAGAGAGTGTTTTTTCTTTTTGAAAATCGAAAAAATATATATATATTACCACATATTTACAATTACACTGAAGTTATCCTTGTGTTCAGTGAATTTTTTTTTTTCGTATGCAACGAGAGTGTTTGTTAATGAATTGAATAAAACAGATTTCTTCATTTTTTTTATCAAAGTTTTGTTGTTGCCATTGTTCTTGTGATGATCATCATTGTTATATTACTACTATTATTATTATTATTACTATATAAACACGCGATTATTGATTGATACAAAGGGGGGGGGCACGAATTTATGAGTGAGACGAGATGCTTGCTATCTAGATGACTAAACTGAAGTAGGTGATTTTCTAATCGGGGGGGGCTGGCCATTCGTGAAGCATTTGATGCTGAATGTCTTATCCATAAAGGCGGTGGGACAAGGTTAAGAGATTTAATCTGATGGTAGGTGTTGATGAACCATAGGTTCGCATGCCATCTGTTCTCTTAGGGTTTGGAATGAGGGTTTTCTAACTCCTGTCAACTTGCTTTTAGCGTAGGGATATTCGCTTTTAGTCCTTTCAATTTAGTTAACAGTACCTTTTCTACACAAAGACAGTTAGTAAGACTTTTGTGGAAGTGACCATGTCAGTGTATTTGGAGAGGGAAAGAAAACTGTTGACGTACTAGTTCGTGTATTCGAGGACTATTCGTTATATCATAGTCGATTATAATTATTTACGAAAACATCAGTTAAAATATATGCAGTAATTTTTCAGGTCAATCAATGTAGAACTTCGTACGTACATACCTCAGTCCAAGTTGTCATAACACATTAGCACAGAGACACAATCTTCAATTCAGATACCACAGTGGTAGAAGTAGTAGAAGTATTAGCAGTAATCGGAGAGCTAAGGTTCGAAGATAATATTCAAGAAGTAGGATCTAGTGTAAAAAAATGATAGATAGAAGTGATGAGGATTTCAGAAGGTTAGCATTTGTGAGAACACTAAGATTGAATGCGCCTGTGCCACTGCAAACGGTTTTGAGCCATGTCTTTTAGGGTCTCTAACCATCGATTACTATCATCTCGCGAACCTCAAGAAAGTAGTGTACATCTACCAACATAACTCAGTCCACTTGTCAGCGACTTCATAGATTTGTGCCATGTTTTGGTTGCCTTTCTTCTAACCTATTCCTACATCGCAAAGCAAAGCTCGACGGAGCAGTAGGTGGTTAGGCATACGTAAATGTCCCAACCGCCTCAACTGGTGAAGTTTCAATACTTCATCAATTGATCTGACATCCCTCCCTACCTAGTACTCGTTTCCTTGCAATAACATCGTTTACTCGGTTGTCCCAGTATACATGAGCAATGCTTCGGAGACACCTATGATCGAAAACTAGGAACCTACGAATATCTTCCATTCTGACTGGCCATGTTTCACAGCCATAACGTTTTTAAGTTCCTCTCCGTTTATTTAATTAGTGAATGTTACACATAATAGTGTGACTTTCATTCGGCATTTCATTTCAAGGATATAAAGTTATCTACTTCTGTCTACTATAGATTTATTAGTGCATTATATCCAATCATTCTGAGTGAAAAACGCAAATGAAGTGTACATTACAGCATGAAATAAAATTCCCAGTGAAAAATGACACTTTGTATATCAAGCACTCATCCAGTATAAATGAACATATAACTGATCAAAAAAAGGCTTATTGAACATAGAAAAACAGGTGATTAACCATACTTACATCCTAACTTTCTTCGTCACCCTTAGATCAAAATTTGTTTAGACATACAATTATCTGTAAGATCATGTTACAAAATTTAGTTTGTATAACATTGTGAGGCGATTGTTTCATGTAAATGGTCAAACGAAACACACCATTCTACATTCCCAATGAACCAGTGTTTGGGAAGCCGATTTGATGACAGTGTGCCTCTTAGATTTAAGCACATTATGTCTCTGAGTAAGTATGACTAGTCTTTGTAGAAACAGTTCGATTCATAGTTGATTATGTGTATCTACATTGCTTTAATGAGTTTTGCATCAAAGCGTTTACATTAGAGATGGCTTACACTTTACAAGCGTACTCGTAAGTTTTTAAGGATTTCAAGTAGTAAAACATTCATTCAGTATCTGTTTGCCTTTTCTTTAAACGAAATCTATGCCTAATAAACCGAATTTGTGTTATGAAGATGTGAAAACCAGATGGAGTAATTTGATTCATGTAAAGAGACAGTTTACTAGCAAAACGTGTAAACATTTAGACTTCCATCTGCAAAACAATAAGATTATTGTCATCTAGTCTTTAAAGCACTATGATCACATCCGAATCTGACACTCTTCACTTCAGCACTAATTTCTGAGTGACAGTCCATTGCATACTACTCAAAAGCCAGGGTGTGAGTAGTATACTTCGCGTTAGTCACAATCAACATTTTTATGTGATTTATCGTTCTGAGCCTTACAAAATTACATGGTTGATTCCATCTGTTTGTATTCTCCCGTGTGCTGTCAAATTTGTAGAGAGTATTCTAAATTGCTGAAAGACCAGCAAATTTCTAGTGTCAAATCGCGCAATTCTGTCCTTTCGCCGTACATCAATAATTGTTTTTTATTGGTCGTCCTAACTGTCAATGTCACAAACTTCAGTGTTGTTTCCTATTCGACCCAACTGTGAAAATACGCATTATCTAACCAGGACCCGTATCCCTATTCCGGGATCCTGATTCTCTTCTGTACTCAGACCTCGTACTTTTTGGATGCTTGTAGAATACACGTTCCACTTAATAACAAGTTTTCTTCTTCTACTCAATGGGGATTTGGGACAATCGGATTAGAGTGGTTTGTCGTGTCGACCGATCCTCGCTCTCGTTTTCCGACTAAGTTAAACTCGTAATACTTCATGCATATCAAATTGACGTGTTTATGTGTCTGCGTAACAGTTTAGACAGAGACAATATAAGTAATAGCGCGCAAGAACAATGACCGAAGTGATAATCCGGCATATTGTAGCGTGTCACGGAATACGGAAGGTGATATTAACTGACCAGGGTCCCTGTTTTGAAAGTGACGAGTTTCAAGCCCGTCTAAAGCAGTTTGACATCAAGAGGATACGAACTACACCGTATCATCCTCAGATAAACGGGCTTACTGAGAGAAACAGCCGGACGTTAATGGAATGGTTAGCAGTTAAAGGAGGAGATTGGGAGAAAGAGTTACTATTGATTTTGCTGATCCCAAAGTGTGAAGGACCGTACGTTATCATAGAGAGATGCGGCGCGGTTTACATGATCCGGAGAGAAGACAAGCAGAAGCGCGAAAATGCTAGTCAACTGCAGAGATGGTTTCAAGATTATCCAGTGTATGAGTCACGAAAAGCACCAAAGATGACAATGGTACGACAATCAGAAAGACTACGACGACAGCTTATTAAAAGGGGGGACGAGTGTGGTGCGCACTACTTATAAGTAGTATATGACGCGAGTAACAACGTAAAGTCTGGCAGCTGAGGATGGGGGAACATCAAGAAAGGAAGAGTTAGAACACAATGGAATTTGTATGAAACGCATGAATAGTGACAATCAATTGATGTTTTGCAACAGGAACAGTGCAGTTCGATATGATGAACTGATATTTTACAAATTAACGATTTACGATATGGTTTTCCGATTTCACTGAGTAACTCTGTAATTTTCGTTAAATACAATTCGGTTGCCCCACCTGTGTTCTCGTTCACTACAATACTACGTCTAAATTTTAATTTAATTAAAAATTTTTGTATATTTATTTATTTAATTAACACTAAGAGAAATCAGCACCGAGAATTCATTGATTAATTAATCATATGACTTTTTTTTAAAATTAAAACACAAACAAACACAAACTTTCTTGCTAAAAATCTTTCTGTTTATATAAATTAAAGTGTAATAATAATAATAATTTCAATAATAACAATAACAATAATTTCAATATTCAGTAAAGAAAATTCACAATTTAATAATATAAATGATTAAAAGAAAATACTTTTAAAAAAAATATTTGTGAACAGTTGTCTACGCAAAATACTTCGGATTCGTTGGCCAGACACTATTGGCAACAACGTACTGTGGGAGAGAACAAACCAGATTGCAGTGGAGGAGGAAATCAGGAAGAAGCGGTGGAAGTGGATAGGACACACACTACGAAAAGCACCTAACTGCATCACGAGGCAAGCCCTCACATGGAACCCTCAAGGCAAAAGAAAAAGAGGAAGGCCAAGGAACGCATTACGCCGAGAAATAGAGAAAGATATGAGAGGAATGAACAAACATTGGACAGAACTGGAGAGAGAAGCCCAGGACAGAGTTGAGGAAACTGGTGGTCGGCCTATGCTCCGTTGGGGGTAACAGACGTAAGAAAGTAAGTAACTTTATAAAAAGATTATTTTCTTTCTTAAAAAAACTATTACAGTGAGTTAAGGTATAATGCACCTCCAAATGGCATTAGGACAGGAGAAATGTCTAGTCTCTTGAAATACTCTCGTGCAGCCATGCGTATTAGATCACTTCCATTGTCAGTTACAACGTAGATCGTCGTACGTATGTATATAAGTTCAATTCAAATCCCATAGTAATAGTGTAGTGAAGGAGAACACAGGTGAAGGCAACCGAATTGTATTTAGCAAAAATTACAGAGTTACTCCGTAAAATTGGAACACCATATCGTTAACGGTTAATTTGCAAATCTTCAATACATTGTCTGACATTTCACTATTCATGCGTTTCATACAAATTCCATTGTGTTCCAACTCTTCTTTTCTTGATCTTCCCCCATCTTATGCTGCCAGACATTACGTTATCAATCACGTCATATACTACTTATAAGTAGCGCGCACCACAATAGAAACATTAGCAGTAATGGAGAAGATTAGGCTTTGAATATATATTATTACAGAAATATAATCAAGTTAAATAAACTTAAAAAGAAAAAGATAAAGGTGATAAGGAATTAAGAAGTTTAGGGTTTGACAGGACACCGCTTGCACCACTGCAAGCGGTGTTGTCACTCACGTCATATACTACTTATAAGTAGCGCGCACCACAGTACGATTTCAACAGCTGGAATAAATGAGAAATGCTGTGTTGTTGTTGTTTTTTCTTTTTTCTTCAAAATCAACGTTTTGTGTTGTTTTAATATGGCAAATTAGCACATACGCGACAAATTTTCAAAGCAGAAGGCGCTGGGTTATTAACCTCATTGTCAACATCAACTGATTGGTCCAATATATAGAACCAGTGATAT